CAATTCACGTCATAAATATGTTGTACGCACTCCTGGAGGGGGGAATTTCCTATCCAGCAGTAGCACGAGGTGCTGCGAAGACTGCTTATAAAACGTACAAAACCGCCGTCTTTCTACAGCGTACACGAGTTGGACTAACGGGAATATTCTGCACTTTTAAAATATTGATTTTAAAAGTGAAATTAGCTTCATACTCGAACCCAAGTTTCAACGTATGGAACCACCCCTCCTGTGGAGTTGATTAGTCTCAAAATATGTAATAACATTCAAAGAGGTTTCATTTTGTAGATTACGACATAAAAACAACTCGTGTCCTTTGGGGACACAAATCTTGGTTTTAAGGGCATAGGACGCATCGTAACCGAGTTATGCTACACGGTAACGTGCGTTGTACTGCGCGTTTCGCGGATTGCGTGTGCGTCTATTTTCGAAATCTGCTAGCAATTTTTATTTTCGTCTTAAATCTGTTTGAGGCAGGATTGGCCGATAATTCCCTCTCCGGCAGTATCACACTTACCCAGTTTTTATTTATTTATTTATTTATTTATTTATTTATTTAAGTTAAAACCAGTGAAAACTGTGTCTGAGGTACTATGGGGAAAAGTGTTTTCTGCCCACATTTTTCTAAATTCTGAGGTCCCTACCCTAACTTATAGACCAATTTAATTCTGGATACAGATGGAAACTAGAATTTTGGTAAGAATTTTAAGAGGTTAAAGCTGCACCATTGGGCGACCTGCGACAGATACTGTCGCCCTGGCGGCTACCGACGATAACTTCGCTTTAGCGAATGTACTAGGTTCTCTCCTCATCCTCAGCTCCGCCTCCGCCTCCGCCTCCGCCTTACCCAGCCAAGCAAACGCCACAGCACCATTACCACCCACGCTCCGCCTTCGGCATCACTTACCCTCGCTTGCTCCACCTGCTTCCTTTCCCACACTAGCTAGGTAGTTCGGTCGAATTCAACCATCGTGGAGAAGAATTCTAGCTGCCGGCTGCTCTTATTGGTAGTTTGCCGTAATTTACTCCTATCAACATCAGGATAATGCCGGAGTAGTACGCTCACAAGCGGGTCACGGATTGCGCGTGATGTTTCCTTCCTCTTCCTTGTTCTATCATTACACCTTACTTACACACACATTCACACTACACTACCCCACATGCCGGAAGACTAGTCGGGAGCATAGATCACATCCCGGATGGGGGCGGCGCCTCGTTAGTGGAAGATAGCTTGTTAGGAAAAACCCGCAAGACGACGTGTATGTCGCCGCCAGGTCTCACCATCCACCAGAGGAAAATCACCGCCGCCTCCACTGACAAAACCTGCACTACACTTCCGCTGATAATGACCGTAACTGTTGACGTTCCCGAAAACTCTAAATAATTAATTAATCAATCCACCAGCTTCCGTCCCAGTTCCTCCTGTTCGCATCCATATCCACTCTCCCTCCTTTCCCCTCCTGTGATCCCCTCTCCGCCAACCGCCGCGCCGTCCACATCCCGTTCTCATCCCTATCTCCGACCCTTTTCGCTCCCACCACTACCCCTGCCAAGCATTTTTCCCCCCCAGTCGCCAGCACCGTCTGTCTGCTCTGTACATTCACCCTTCCCCCATCAGCGTCACCCACAGCAACCCGCCCTCGGCTACTTAACTCCACCTACTCTCTTACCCCCAGACCCTTACCCTCTCCTGCCTCCTCCAGTGCCCCTCTCCCCTGCCCTGCCTTCGTATATTGAACTCCACCTACTCTCTTACCACCAAAATATTATCCTCTCCCCCTTCTCTAATGTCCCCTCCCCGCCCTGCCCCACTCCTTCCCTCGTGTTATTTAACTTTAGTCCCCCCCAACCGCATTTTCCCTCCCCGTCCCTCCACGTACCCTCCGCCTCTTAACTCCCCTATCTACCCGCATCCGAATTTACCCTCCCCTCCCCCAGTTCTCCTCGCCCGCCTGCCTGCCTTGCCTTTCGTCATTAATTCCTTCTACCCGCCGCTTGAATCTTGCCCCCCGATCCACCGTCCCCGCTCCCGCCTCGCTCCGCCTTCCCGCCGCTCCCCGCCCCGCTCCCCGCCGCGCTCCGCCCCGCGCCTGCGGTGATACGAGTGCTGTGGAATGCGGAAACGCCGCTCGTAAAGCCAGGCGGCCGGCGCGTAGGCCACGAACTGCTCTCAAAATGCGCACCGACCGGCCACACGTTCCCACGAAATTGGTTTTGTTTCAGTCTCCCCGCTCCCCCTTGAGCTGTGACCCGTGGCGTAGCGACAAGCGCTCTCGCCGCCGGCTCCGAGCGTTGGCGGTTGAGTTTCTGGCTCTCTAGACGGAATTTCGGCAGAACTGAATTACATATATTACGGTTAAAGTCCGAATCTGGTAATTCCTGTTTTAGTCAGTTGCTCTTTCTGAATGCCCACATCGTCAAAAACGAGTAGATAAGTTCGAAGTAGGAATAGCTTCGAAGCATAGCCTACTTAGGACTTCAGCCGGATGAAGATGGATTAGTCAAAGCGAGGTGGATAGGGCAGCTGAAGTACTTCAGGATGTTGAGAAATAAACGGAACGTGATCAACGGGTATCAGACTGCTTCTGGCCTATTTCTCAATTCCGAACATGTTCTCTTCTTTTTAATTTCTTGCCTTCCTTTGAAAAACTGGAAAGTATTGTAATCGTGCACCAGAAAGCGGCGAAATTATTTATTATTATTATTATTATTATTATTATTATTATTATTATTATTATTATTATTATTATTAAACGTCGTCCTTGGATAGCATAGAGAACGCGGAATGGCGTGGGTCTCATTTTCGATGAATTCCCTGATTTTTCTAAAATTGCATAAGTTTAAAATATTTCATCTTCCTACAATATTGAACTTGCAATATTACGTCGTCACTTCTACAATATTATAACATTACGTCGATTACTACAATATTACACTTACTGCAATATTAAGTCGTCACTACAATATTACGTCTTACTTAGTGTTAAGATTTCTCTTAATGAAACTTATTGTTCTAAGAAATATTGAATTAAAGGCATATATAATTTTTCGTAAAGATGAGTTATTTTCGAGAAATTTAGGCAATTTTTAATCAATTAGTTTTTCAGAAACAGTTTTTTTAAATGTTCTCCTCGAATGTATCAAAGAACAAAAAACATTGTCGAAATGTAGCGTTCATTTTCGGCAAATATGTTTGTATTTTCGAAAATTGCAATAACGTTAACATTGCAAAATAAAAATATTAAAGATTTTTGTCTTAAAAAAATCCGTTCTAAAAAATTAAAATCTTTAAAAAAAATCATGTACAATAGTTTTTAAACAAGTATTTCTCGCATTATTTCTGCTTAAAATTAATACAATTATTAAAAAAATATTTTCTTAAAAACCGCCCAAATTTTTTCTTCAACTTTTTCCACAGAAAGGGCAAGGGACGCTTAAAATATTGGTATAGATCTCATTACCAATGAACTCTCTTAATTTTTAAAATTGCTTAGGTTGGAAATAATGCAAGAAAGTGTGTGCTGTTATAGGACCACCAACTGCATCTGCAACAAATCTTAAAAATCTCATTTCATCTAACTTTATTTTACATCTGTTGGAGAGTGTCCAGGTTTCTCACTCGTGAAGTCCATAGGTCACTTACATAATTTCAACAGTTTTCTTTCTAGTTCTGGTTTTTAACTTTCTCTGAATAGTTCCACACATACCATTAAAGTGTGCGACTTTACATTTTATATCAATTTTGCATAATAGAAGAGTTCCCATTCTAGAAGTTTAAGTTTAAAGACTTGTTCTATTAACATGTTATTTACAACAAATTTATTCTTACTGGTTCTGAACCAGAGAGGCCAGAGCTTGCTTTTATGTCAAAACTTATAATCTGTATACCTCAAACCATTTCATCTTGTATCTTGGCAAAAGTATTAGTCATTCCATTGGATTTTGAATAGATTCTTTTCAGCTTACTAATAATTATGCTTGTATATAGTATCACTGGACGGTCAGATGTTGCACTCTTACTCTGGAAATATTTATTCAGCCTGTTCAGAATCAGTAACACCGAATAAAACTGGTGGTACAACAGCACTTACTTTCTCATACTATTGGTAATGGTTATAATATTATATTTCATTTCCCATCATAACACTACAGTCTGCGCTTGAAAAATCTCCTCACTGAATAAAGAACGTGTGGTTTGTACCTGTACTTTCTTGGGCGATCGGAAACAGTTGCCATTTCTTACCCATCTACTAAACAAATATGATTACAGTAATTGCAGTTACAACAGAGGATAATTTTATGCAAACTTGCTTCCTGATTATTTCAAAAGAGTTCTCAACATTTGAATGTTTGTACCAATTAGTGACAAAACATTTTTGAAGTAAAAGATGTCAATCAATTAAACTCCCAGAACTGAACTGCCATCCAATACGTCTTCTTATGAATTCCTAAAAATTAGGAGTCAAACCAATCGCCTTTTATCATTTAAATATTATATCTGTAACACTAGAAACGCACTCTGACCCCAGGGTAATTTCTAAGAAACAAAATCAAAATAATTTATTTTATGTTTTTTCTGTATTGTACATCATCAATAGATGTTAGGTTGAACAAATATTTCATACTACTTACATATGCATGTAATTTGGTACCAACTATCAAATCAATCAATGCACAAGTGATTGTACCATCTAATTTAAATGTTTTTGCATTATTTAACATTACAGAAGTATGGTTTTTGGAAACAACAAGATTTACAACAGTGAGGGGCCATTTTAACACTCGTATAGTAAATGATTAGTTAAAGAGTTAATAATCAGAAAGATAATTTTAAAAAATTGAGAAGGGCTATAATGAGCAATATTTTGATCTTTCTGATAAATTATTATTTATTTGATTTACTTGTCAATAACTCTGAATGTTCATATCACAAATTGGGGCTATTTTGTTTATTAGAGTCTTCATATCCACTTGATTAAAACAATATTATAACAATTTCATTTTCTCTTTGTAAGCACAACATTGTATGACTCTGGTTTTAATGTTAGACCCTTTCTTGGTCTGGTAGAAGGACTCTGTTTTCCAGGTGATGGTGATATAAAGAATGTTTGTAGTAAAATTGTAGTAAACAAGAAGAGACTATTTTTAGCTAATGTGTCTCCAAGGCAGCGTCGATGACCTGCCAACAAAATGTAATTTTATCTTATCACTCACACAGTCCATTTACATTTCATTACACACAAATTAAGACATCACTTACAATCAAATCTTATATCTGTTTAAAGCTTTTTTAATTTAATTTTTGTAATTAAGTTCTGCAGTTAGTAAGGATATACTGCTAAAGGCATTTAATTCAGCACAGTCACATCAGAGTATGTTGAAGAAAAAGAGTGCTGGTTTTAGCTCGTTTTCATAGTTGGAAGTGGTTGTTTGGACTAAAGGCGTGACAATCACTTTAGTAGATCACTTTGATCTTACTTATTGTAATGAATAGTTATGTTTTGAAGGATTTCCTTCTTCTCCAGATTTATGTGATATGTAAGTGAATATTGAAATTGAAAATGCTAAATGTGTCGAGTATTAATTGTCAACCAAAGTTTTAATTCATAAACACCAATAACGTATTAATATATTTTGTAGGTACTATTAATATTTTTATTTCCAATAAAATTTGAATATAAAATGTATATATACAGAAGAACTTCACTAATTCAAACCCTGCAAATTCAAAATTTCAGATTATCTGAAAAAAATTCAGGATGGAAGAAAAATAAACAAAATAAATACAATACTTATTTGTAGTATAAAAAAGAAATTTATAGTTACTGTAGAACTGAACAACTAATTATTGAAACACAAATTGTCAAAATGAAATGTTTATTGCACTGGTAACTAACAAATTGTCAAAATGAAATGTTTATCACATGCTTAAGTAGCAGCAATTTTCACTTAGAGGGACTTGCAAACTTGGTAATCTTGTTTTGCCATAAGGAACTGAATTTGCTTTTTCATGTGATGTGATGATGCGATTGCTATACTACTTGGCAATTTTCTCACATCGCACACTATGTTGCATTGTTTGGTAAGCCTATAGATGCATTTGAATATATATGGTACATTTTTAGATAATCTGAACATTTCTGAATCCGAACAGGCCACACCTCCAATTAGTTTGGATTAACGAGATTCAACTGTAAAAGCTAATAACATCAACAATGTTTTGCATGAGTAGTTGAACATATGTAGAAATATAAATATAATGAATGATAATATATGTAAATAGGAATAACAGTCAGAAATTTGACTAAAATCTTAGAATCCTACTTAAAATAAATAACGTTAATACAGCTTTTCTGTCTTGTCTTGCTGTAAATATTGTAAACAAGATAGTTCTTTGTTAATAACAATTAGTTTTAAAGTTAATTATAAAGTAATAAATGTTACTCAGTAAACGTCAGTCAACTTATCACTTTATAAGCACTGCGCTGTGGTAGTTGTGTGTAGCTCTGAAACCAGCTCTCTTTCTCTCTTCTGTGTACTATGGTCACACTTACAATTGAATCACACGAAGGTCACTGGAATGTGTGACTCTCCCACATGTTTTTAAAATTATCTATTGTCTTTTAATATGATAATGAATTTGTTGATCTCAATTTATAGGAAATAGAAATCACAAAAGAGGATGTGCAAAATACAGTAAAAACTCCGAACAATAGCAAAGCACCAAGTAGTAATGAAATTAGGAATTAATGAATGAATGAAGTGTGGTGGCAACAAATTAGAAGATCATTTAAGTATATTATTTAATATCATTATCAGAAGAAGCAGAATACCATCAAAATGGTAAACCAGCATGACCATACCGATCTTTAAAAAAGGAGTGAAGAATAACCCAGAGAACCATAGCGGTATAAGGTGATTAAATTTGGCTCAAATATTGATTTCAAAGGTTATATAAAAAAATAAAACCATTTCTGCACATAAATAAAGAACAACAAGAATTTTGACCTAATCAATCAACAACAAAGACCACATTTGTGACCCTCCAAGTAGTCAAAAAGGCAATTGAATTTAACATCTCTTCATGTGCTTGAAAGATCTAAAAAAGGCATTTTGTTGCATAAGACTACAAGATATATTATGTACTTTAAAAGATAAGAATATTTCAGAAATAAGCATAAAGATAATTGACGACATGAATACGAATAGTGCCACGAAAATGCAAGTAGGAATTATGGTAACACGAAATCATTAGTGCAGCTTGTGTGAAACAAAGGGATTCAATCATTCTTGTGCTTTTAAATCTTGTTATGGATAAGATAATACACTTTAAAAATAAATTCCCTATGGAATAGGAAGTAAAAAAATCTCAATAGTGTGCTAGGCATGTGATGAAGTACTATTGGCAAATTCAGAAGATGATTTACAATGACTTCTCCACAGGCTAACGAAATCTGTAGAACAATATCACATGATTATATCTACTGACAAAACAAAATCAATGGTAATTTCAAAGGATCTAATAAGGTGTAAATTTGTAGTGAATAATAAAATAATCCAACAAGTCATGAAAACGACATATCTAGGAATGAAAATTTCGAACATAAGGGACCCTTACAATGAAGTTAAACATCAAGTATTTAAAGGAGCCAGAATATTGAGATATCTGAAAGATGTAACCTGGAGAAATAAGTTTCTTAATATAGAATGTAAAGTATAAATATACAAAACCATAGTAAGACCAGTTCTGATTTATGGAGCAGAAACAAAGGCCGATGCTAGTAGAACTAAAACTGTACCTAGATCTTCAGAGATGAGTGCTTTAATAGCAAACACAGGTAAAACAAGATAGGAGAGAATAAATAATCAAGATATAAGGTATGAGTGTGAAGTGATGGACATAGTTCAATTCATAAGAACAAGAGCAAAAGGCTAGGATGAATATGCTTCCTGGGCAGATAATCGTAGACTGAGAAAAGTAACATGAGATTCATGGCACTCTTAAGTAAGTGGGATCCAGGAATTCTGAAGAAAAGATGGTTTGAAAGCTGGGTATATACATCGCCCGATTCATGAAGGTGAAGTATGAAGGAAAATATGTTTTACCTACATAGAAGAAGAATTTAGTGTTATTATTAACTCCTATAATACTTCCCAACCCCCAAAAAGAACCGAAGGGGAAAGCAGATTATATCCTCGATGAAGGGAAACTCCCAATCGCACCTCCTAGTGGTGGGGGATGGCAACACCATCTGGTGACCAACACGGCTCTGGAACCTGAGTGACTGCCGGGCTAAGTAGTCTCCCATGTCCTCCAACCACCCCCAATTGTAAGGGCAGGTGAGAGAATGTCGGTAGGTTTTATCCCTCACCTTGGGAATTAATATATTCCTAAAGAGTGGAATATTGGTAGGCTGAACTCCAAAAGTTGTAGTGGAAATGACCAAACTGAGGGATGGACACCTTGAAGAGAAAAGCTCTGGCCCTCCAGGTTAGAGGTTGTGTTGGAGACTAGCACTATGCATCCACAAAAATTTCCCCTGTTAAACTTCTCATTCAGGCAAAACTGAATAATCAAAATTGGAAACAACTCCGGCTAAGAAAGCGACTCTGAATATAGGTATATGGAATGCGCACAACACTTAAAATACAGGATGTTTCACTGAAGCAAGAGTCCCACTGTAGATGAGATCATTGCTTGGAATTTCTGAAATGTGCACACCTTTTCATTGAAGCATCTCTTGAATAGAAGATGATCATGAACAAGAATTCACAATAAAACCTACCAACAACAACTTCTCCATTCTTCTTTAATCTATGAGAATATATCATATCTTTATAAAAGACTCTTGAATTTAAATTGATTACAAAACACAGGTCTCTGGAACCAGAGTATAATTTTATTAAGGAATGCACCCTTTAAGACTCTGAGAAGGCATTGGGAAATACGGAATTAAAACAAAAATTAACAGGATATTGGTGGAATGCAGATTTAGAAGAAAATATTAACAGCAAAAGAGAAATGAATTTTAAATGGATAAGTGATAAAGATAATGAATCTAGATTCCAAATAGACAAATAAATAGAGAAATAACACAAGAGGGATTAAAAAAGAAAAATAAATCATGGTTAGTAAAATGTGATTATAAACTGGTCTAATGCATTGATGGGGCCTGAAATGCAGAAGCCTGGAGAGTAAAGAAATCAACAAAAACAAACAAAACAAAAGCTGCCTTTCATATCAATATATATAAGCTGAACGACTACTTTAAAACATTGCTCTTAAATGATAGAAATTTTAAAAAGCATAAGACGGAAACAAAATTTATAGAAAGCGTAGATAAATCAATAGATTCCCAACCTTCTTCCTTCATCAACCCCTTTTAAACAAATTGTTTGCTTGATTAACCCGCTCACATTTCTCTACAATACACAGCATACATAATCATGAGAAAGGAATTACTCACAAATGCATCAAAGGTAATAATTTCATACACCAATATTCTCATAAATATCTTTATTTTTTGAAAGTCCAAGACGCTACCACTTTTCAGTAGCGGAGTTTCTAAAATTTATTAGAATACAAAATGTTCAGTGTTTTTAAGAAATGACCATTACATTTCTCCCTTGCATATTGCAGAGAGTACTTCCTTGTGCAATAAAATATTGTTGTTAATGTAGAGATATAATTTGTTGAATTTTCTAAACATCCTAATTCCTAAGGGTCAATGCCAGATGTGAAAGGAGATAACAAATTTGTAATTTATTACCATACTTTTTTTGTTGCTATTTTTACATAAAAATGTTAATTAAGTTCATTAATATTTTTTGGTAATCAATGGGATTTTCATTATCCTGATCAGGCACTGGTTCACATTCAGCTATTGACCCCCAATCAACCCCTAATTGTCATTGACCCCCTTTAAAATTTCATTGACCCCCCCAGGGGGGTTTATACCAACCCCACTGTAAATGATTTAAAACAATCACGGAAGACAATGAAATAAAAAGCAACTGCTCTTGGGGGACATACCAGCGAAACTGGTTAAGTACAGTCCAGTTAAACTGCACCAAATGCTCTAGCACATGTTTTCAAGGTGTATAAATAAGAGAGTATTATTACTGGAGGGGTACAAATGGAGAAGATCCCCTTTGGGAATGGTGAACATCTTACTTCACACCAATTTACAAAAAACTATACATGGACGATCAAGGAAATTACAGAAGAAATGCAGTGATAAGTTGTGTAGGAAGACTTCAACATAATAATTTGGATCCATATTGAGCAGGAAATAGAAAGAAAAATTGGAGAAGAGGAATGTGATTTTAAGGTTGGTAGAATGGTAGTAGACCACATATTAAGCTCAAAACAACTAATAGAGGTATAGTTCTGCAACCAGAAAGATTTTACTTTTTCCTTCTTTTTATTGTTTGTTTGTGTTGAAGAAAAGTAATACCTTGTGCATTAGTATGATTGAAATTAAGTCAATTATTGCAAAGAAGTGTTGTATGAGAATTTCAACAGTCCCCTGTTGATATTAATACCTAACAAATGCCAGTATTATAATAAAAGTCCAACTACTCTACTAAAACTGTATAACTACTACACTAAAATTGTGACAATATTAATTTCAAATTCAAATAAATTTCAATATCTAATGAAATAAACTGGTTTCACAAAGTGAGAAATATAGAGACACTGAAAGAGATCGGAGAGGACCAAAATTTATGAAAATGAAACATAAAGAAAGGAAACTAGCTTTGTCATATAATAAGAGAAAGAGGAATAGTATCAACTACAATTAAAGGAACAGAGAGAATGAAAAGGCAGGGAAAAAGGAGGCTGAAATTGGTGAAGTGAGGCTTCTTTGCTACTACAAGGCAAAGAATGTGACCTTGGACAGAAGCAGACAGAAGCAGCAATGGTGTAGTAGACATACTGTCCAGCAGGACACATGACACAATTACAGTGACAACAATAACAATGTTTATAATGATGACAATACTAAGAGACGTTTAGATTCTATCTTCCACTTATGCTTTCCGTAACCTTCCTCTGATAATGTTGCTGTATGCTTACATTGTCAGATCACCAAATACACTATGTGGATATTGTTAATGTGCTGGATATGTCTATAATATAAAAGTAATTAATTTGATATACCAGATCCGAATGGTAATACTCTTGGATTGGGAGTAAATACACCGTCTGGATTCAGGAACCGTTCAGGTCTAAACTCTTCAGGATCTCCCCAGTATTCTTTATTCATGTGTATGCTATATAAACTCATCAAGACAGTAGAATCCTGGAATTGAAAATATGACATTGGTCAGTTTATTTACATTATTATGTATTATAATAATGAGAAATTTGTGAAAAAAATAATGTTTAAAAATTGCTTATATCTTCAACTAATATTTCTCTGCAAAATAATGTTGAAGAAATAGAATTGTTTTGTGGCAAATTCTTCTCATTTCTGCATTTCATTTCATTTCTTTGCAATAATAAATTTGCATCAAATGTAGAAAAAAACTGTTTCATATCCTTTAAGAAAATATTCATATTTTCATCCTTCAATAAACATATTCATATCCTTTGCAATATATTGCTAAACAAAGAAGGTATATAATGCGCAGAAAAGAGGGAGACAAAATGAAATTAAAAATGTTTGGAATATAAAGTAGACATCATGCTGCCATAGTTCAATCTAAGCCATGTTTGAACATGTGCATATATTAAGTGATATTCTTGTTATATCTACTCGAATGTTCAGATATCTTGAATTCCAATTTCTTCACATTCAATGTCTTTATATTACTCTGTATCATCTCCACAGATATTCTGTTCCAATACAAAGACGGGTGGATCCAGCCTATGGTTTGGGGGGGGATCTCAGATTTTTTTAAAATAATAAATATATTTGTTATTATGTTGTATATTATTTATGTACTATAGACATGATACTATGAAATATTATTGTTTAAATAATTATGTAATTCAAATACAAATATATATTTAAATCAATTTTGCCAAATAAAGAAGGGTAAATGAAAACTCAAGGCCTTTTGGGAAGGGGCCATGACCCCCCTTAAAGAGTGTTAGTTTAATCTTAAGCCATCTTAGGGCAGCAATTTGTTTGCATGCCCAGACACTCTCGCATGATGCAGAGCAAGTGTGCATGTATTGAAATGAAGGATTACTTAGACTTAAGAAGGCAGCTTCCTAAGCAAATAAAATAAGAACAAATTATAAAACAATCTAGCTTTAATACAACAATGTCATTATTGGTCTAGATTGAATAGGCATTTGTGTTTGTTTTTTTTGTTTTTTTTTTTGTTTTTTCAAAATATAAATAAACATCATATAAGTAGAAATAAAGACTAAAGAAAACAAAACCAGTAAAATAAATGAAAAATGATTTCCCAGCTCTGAGAAGGGTCACATTGTATATCATAAATACTGTATTTACTACTTAATTTTTAATAAGCTTAACCAAATAAATATCACTATTCAGTTGAGGGAACTAAATGAACAATGCGCAATTGTTTAAAAACAAAATTACACAACTCTGAGATCTTTCAATTCAATTAAACTCAACTAGATGATGCATATACCAGAATTACAGGAGCACCCACAGAAAACCAGAGGCCTGGGGCAGTTCATCTACGGGAAGCTCCTTATTTCAAACAAAAAATTCTCTCCTCCCCCATTGCATTAACAGAATTAATTTCTCCATTCATCAGAAATAACATATAACATTAAATTTGCATTAAATTTTTTTTTTTATTTCTTTTGAATGAAAAAACATTTTGGGACCCCAATTAAGTTGGGGTCTGGGGCAAGTAGCCCCAGCTCCTTCCCCTTCTGGATGCCCCTTTTGAATGGAACACAAAATTAAGCATATCGGTTTGTATTATCAGCAACATTAAAATTTTTTTCAAATTTCATGTAATATAAATAAGTTTATGTCCTACACACACAAGAAAAAAAGCGTAGCATCTAGGATGTCTAACTATTCTGAAAAGAAATAAAAAGGTGATAAAAAGGTTGTTCAAAACTATTATACGATTTCCTTTTTGTCTGAATTTTCAAAAGTTTTGGAACTTGTTTATGTTTGTTTAGAATAATTTATAAATGTGCATGACAACATTACAAATTCACTAAATAGTTGTAAAAAAAGCATGAAACACACTTTTCTTCTAGATTCATAGTGAAAAAATTTTATTTATAGAGCCTAGAAGTTCAGGCATTTATTTTACCTAAATTGGCAAAAAGACATTTAGTTTTAATAAAATAAGCATGCAAGAAGGCATTTATTTTGATTAACATTGTTTCTGGGTTTCCGTGGGCATTAGAATGATAGGTCATGCAACATATTGAAGATTTACATCTCAAATATTGCATTTAAACCATACTTTAACTATGAATCATCTAAAATTAATCAAATTATAATTTTCTATTAATTCCTATTATATTTTTATCTTTATAAATGTCTTCTGGGGCTTTTCTATCAAATAGATTAGATAAATTATTATGGGCACAATTAGAAAGGGTGTTTGCAAAATCAATTTTTTTGAGAAAGAATTTCGCATGAAAATTAGACCCGTGGCGCTGACATCGCTGCTGCCCTTGCTGGCATCAGCTCCCTCCCCTCCCTCCTCTCTCTCTCCAGCTCCCTTCTCTCCCCTCCCCCATTGTCTCGCCCAAACTTCTCATCTGAATCTGTCTTGCCCTTACCCTCATTGTGTGTTTTCCCCCTCACCCACTATGTCCCATGCTGTGCTCGATTTATGTCCATGTCAAATGTCCTAAGTCAAACTTTGCCCATGCTCTGACTATGCTGCTGTCAGCTCCCCTGCTGACACCAATTTGTTGCAATCCATAGTAACTATATGAAGGGGTGAGGGAGGCAGGGAGGCCATGGCCTACTTGAAAATTATGAAAGGGGACTAGTAGCCTTACGTGATAAAACATTTTATTTGCTTAAGTACGTTCAAACCCAGATTTTCAAAACCAGATTTTCCACCATTTTTAGTTTGATAATTTAGGGAATTGTACGACATTTGGGTAAGTCATCTGACAATCCTGGAAAAGGTCAAAATAAAATCAATTGTACTTATTAATTGCATCATTATTTTTTTAAATTACATTCTCCTTGTATGTGTTTTGTTATTTACTAGAAAAATATGTCATACAGTCTGATCTGGATGGTGAACTTTATGAGCTTTCAGAAAATCACTAGGTACTTTCGCTGATTTCCTCACCTTTCTCAAGATATTTGTGAAAAGCTTGTGTGCGCTTAAATTCTACTCTGAGGCATTGGAAAGAGGATCACTAGCTTTTTTTGAAATTTCATGGAGGCAATGACTTTCCTCCTATTTGCAAGTTCAAATGTGAAAACTTTCATCAATATCAGAATAAATATTAATATTTAAATGAAAATAAATAAATCTTCTTCTTTAGATAATAGAATATGGAAAATTAATTCACTTACAAAATTACATTTACTTATCTAATTGAAAAGGAAATTTGTGCAAGATATTTAGATGAAATAAAAAGCTTCATTGATAGTATTTTTGATGAGAGCATTTGAACAACTACCAAAGTAAGAAAAATAATAGGAAGTCTTTTGAAAAGTAAATAAAAAATAAAGTATTAATTCTACGATGATGCAAAAGTAAAGAAAATATTGTTTGCTAAAAGTTAAGTTATGACAATAAAGTTTGCCTGCAAATATCTTTACTATTTAATAAGAGGAGCTTGAGTTAAATCAATGAAGAATTAAATGGGTGATAGACAGTATAAAATAAACACTTACCTTAGGAATGACATAACCACCAATTTCAACATCAGCCAAAGCTCTATGAGGCAATGTCATTGGTCCTATATTGGCAATTCTCTGCACTTCCAGAAGTACTGCTGACAGGTATGGCATGCTAAGAAAATATATTTGTATTGTATCTTTCATTACTTGCATTAGCAAACAAATGTACTGAAATATCAGTAAACAAAAAATGAAAACATTTAACTTATTAATAGATAAAAGGGAATGTGTTGAATGTGTACCTTGGACCATCATTCTGTGGTTTCCTTGATCAATACTTGGTGAATGCTAGAGCAGTACCTTAAAAAACAGGCCTCATGCAATTGTTTCTCCCTCTTCCTTGTCCTATCCTTACTCCTTACTTACAAACATTTACACTTACATTCACTATACTACCACATATGTAGGGAGACCAGTTGGGAACTTAGAGCTTGATCCAGCTGGGGCGGTGTCACGCTGGTGGGAAATACCTGGTTGGGGGAAAACTCTGCAAGCGGACATGTAGATTGGCACTGGATCTCACCATCCAGCAGGGGAAGATCTCTGCCACTTCCCACAAAAAAATGCACAACACTTATGGGACTAATGACTTTACTGTTGACATGCATGGAAATGCGAATCAATCATTCATTCAATTGGATCTACAGTGATTTGGAATTCACCTGTTGGGTGTGTTTAAAACCACTCACTCTAGTTTGGTGTCTTGCCAATAGAGACACAAAATAACTTGTATTTGATGAAAATTGCAGAATATTTCTAGGAGAAAACCAAACTACTTTTCACTGACAGAAAGAAGGTATTTTGCTTCTATTTCTTTTTCTCCTCTAACCAACCCATTTTGTTTAATGATACTTCAGTCACATTAATCATTTGTACTGCAGGTTGCTAGGCCTTTTGCCTGTTCCTGATTCCCAGTAGACCTGAATGTTTACACCTCGAGGAGTTCCTGATCTAGCCATTTTTTTGTGGTCTTCCCACATCTCTTCAACCTAATGGTTTGCACTTCAACACAGCTTTTGTGAATCTTTCTTATTTCATTCTGTTAATGTGAGAGAGCCATTTTCTTTGTCTATCCTTTATTTTTTCTACTATATTCTTAACCTTTAACCTGTTTGTAATGTCATTACTATCTTGTCTGTCCTTTAGTGCTACTTTAGTAAGATGACGCAGAAATCTCATTTGTGTTGTCTCTAGTCTTTATTGTTTTTAGTCATGTCTCTTAGAAAGAGTCTTTTGATTAATCCATTCATCCTGTTGAATTTCTGAAGTTTGTATTCCATGTCTTCCAATCTCTGTCCAATGAGGTTACCCAAATAACTGAATTTGGCTACTTGTTCTATTATTTTCCCCTTTAAGACAATTTTGACTCTTCTCATTTCTTTTCCATTATTTATGCTATTGCTTTTGTCTTGTTAGTGGAAATTTCCACCTTATGTTTCTGTGCTATTTTATACATTTAATGTGCTACAATTTGAAAGTCAACTTCTGATTCCATTATTAAGACTATATCACTTGCATGCAGGATTGTTTGGATCTTCTATCTTTAACTGACATTTATTCCCTTTCTTATAGTTTGTTTCCATTTCTTGATTATATGGTTGGCATATATGTTGAAAAGGCAAGGTGACAGGCCTTTCATAAGGGGATTATTTTCCATGTACGGGCGAAACTCCCATATTCACTGTATTCATTCTATATCTTAGTATGTTGGCAAAAAGTTTTGATGCTGTGGGTAGGAGTGTTATCCTCTTATAATGGTTTCAATTTATTTTTCTTTCTTTCTTGTGCAACCTTATTTATCATATGTATCATTTTTTGTCTACATCAACTACAACTGAGTGATGCTCAGTCTTTGGTTACATAGAAAAACATTGTCAGGTTCCTCATGTTCCTCTGTGAATTGTTTTAGACTACAACACAGAAGTAAATTTTGTGAAAATTGTGCTTCAATATTTTATTTAGTATGTAAACATTTTTTCAGACAATAAAAAAAGGGATGTATTCAAATTGATAGTTTGTAAGTTTCATTAAACATCACAAGTCAATATTTTTTTCCCTGGTTAAGAAAGTTTCATAGATATTTGCCATGAATTTCTTACACCTCTCTCTAATTTATCAAATTAAAAGAAAAAAAAGAAAAAAAAAGAAGAATTCCCAAAATGCCTCAAAATAGCCTAGAATTATCATGGTTTTAATACTTGAATGGAAAGACCCTGCAAGCTAACTTATTGGTCAGTGCTGGATCTCTCATTCCAGTGTGGGAGAAACGCTGCCACTTCTTAGGATATGCCATGCAGTACATTTATGAGACTAATGATCACAATAGTTAACACGCTGCAAAAAAACTGAATAATCAATTGACTGCTGTTGAAATTGTATTTTGCTATTCATTATAAATTTGTATTTTAATTTTACCTTGTTAGACATTTTTTGAGCTAACATACAACAATTCTGTTACAATTAATTTTTTATTTGAAATTTATCTCAACATAAATTTTGCGGTCCAATGCACAACATATCTAGGACCAAGGTACAATTTGGGAGTTGTGCAGTGGTTCTAATGACATGTTTTCCTTATTAAAAGAAATACATAAGGAAAACTCCAAAAATGTAAATCTAGTACATAAATATCTTAAGTTTAAAAAAGTATTCTTATTATTTAAAATTCAAGAACAAGTGATTAAAAAATTGAAAAGTCAAAAAAGGCCTAAGGAAAAACACTATTCTCTACTCCTTACATATTATGAATAGGTGGGCAGTAATTTTGAGTTTTATATAAAATGACTTTGTGGCGGAAATTCTTACTCTTTTCGATTTTCTAGAGATGGAAGTTTGTCAGTTCCTACAACATTAGTAATCTCTGCTTGAACTCTTGTCTGAATATCTGGATAGAGTAACATATACAGAAAGAAAAAGCTGAGAGTATTGCTTGTAGTTTCTGATCCAGCAACAAACAGGTCTTTGAGCACAGCTATCAGTTGTGATTCTGAAAAAAAGAATTCGAGATAAAATAATCAATGTTTTTTTATTTACTGTACAATTAGGTTAAATACCTTCTTTCTGGATGTTGGTCAAGTTTCTTACAATTATAAGTTACTAATAAGTTATTAATTACAATAATTAAGTTTATTTTTAGTCTTGATAAATGATTGTAAAGATTACTAGAAAGCCATCCAATGTTCTCAATATGAACAAGATATGCAACAAGTTATATCTATGATAATATCCTTTTTATCACTGTTATGAATTTGTATGCAGAGAGCCTGGGCAAGTTTTCACTAATTTCCTCACTACTGAGGTCACAAACCTACATGGGTTGTTAAAAATTATTTCTCTCTCTTACCATAATATAAAATCTATCTGAAATATTTAGACATTTCTCCCTCACATGTGTACTACACACGTATCATATCATTTCATCAAGCAATAGTATGTTAAAGAGTAACAAATAATTTGCAAATGATCTCTTCACCTGCATGTTCTCTTAGTTCTATGTTCATTTTAATAGGCTACTCTCAAATTTTTCTGTTTTGCATTTTATAGTATATCTTTGAGTTCCCCTATTTGTTACAGGATCAGTGACGGTTGTATTTCAAGGGGGGGGGGGCAATTTCAGTCCCTTTCCCCATAAAAATTTTTGATTATTCATTTTCATTGTATCACGTGTATTTTATGAGATATTGAGGTAACTTTGTGTTTTTCAAATGGAACTATACATAATTTTTAATCTATCATGACAAGCATAAAAAGATGAATCCAATGTTATACATATTGTCATACATTCGATAAGCATTTATGGGATCAATGTTTTGAGCATTGTAATATTCCTAAAAATCAAGTTCCAAAAATAAAAATTACTCAAGCAATATGTATATCATTGGATTTGTCTTTTTACGCTCATCATGACAAACCTAAAAAATATGTATAGTTCCACTTGAAAAACACAATGTTACCTTAATATCTCATAAAATACAAGTGATATAATGGAAATGAATACATACATTAATTAGTCCCATATCCTCATGCACTTTCATGAAAACTGCAATTCAATAACTTCAACTATTCAAAAATTTCAGGTGCTCAAGTTACGTGACTCACCTGTAAATAGTTGAAATGTTGGGAAGAGATACTGGGACTCAAGAAAACAGCTCAGATGTTACTTCTCCCACACATGTCACATACAATTTTTACAGTTTCTTGCCTTAGGAATTTTGTAAGAACAGAAAGTTATGTAATCATGGCCCAGAAAATGGTGGATTTTGCCCAGAAAATCTCTTATTTGACTAATAAATCATATTAAATGAAATTACAAAAACTGTTGGATTTAGTGGGAGGGGGGAACCTGCCCCTACTCCCCATGCACCCCAAGAGATGCCACAGAAATGGTTTTAGTAGTTGAACTGTGAGCATTATACACCATTAGGTGTCTCTTGCACCCAGTTTGAATTTTAGTCAGTCACTGCAATCTTCTCCAATTATCTCTAGTCTCTACTTGGTTGTCCAGGAGACACTGGCTTCTATACCAAGTGTAGCTAGGGTGACCCTCGCATTAGCTACGATAGAGCATTATACATATGCCTGTACGACATCCATTTGTGTATATGACACCCTGACTTCATTTAATCACACAAATCTCTATATACCCCCAGGACGTTGCTACTTACAAGATGGCATCCTACAATTGTATTTCGGACATAAATAACAATAACAATTTTAATTTAAACAAAATCAGGTATGCTGAATGAGAAGTATTTCCATGACTATGAAAGTAAAAAATTAATTAATTCCACATTTAATAATGAAAAAATCCAAATTAGTATTTTGGGAGGAAAGATTTCAGAAATAAAAAGCAAATTTACTAAGGCTGTTGAACTGCATAAAAAGCCTAATGGAGGCAACAGGCTCTGGCACTTTTAACAAAAGCTTTTCGTGTTTGGAGATATGAGGAAGATCCTGATGAATTTAGAGGAGGAGGAGGGGGAGAAGAAGAATGAGGAGGAGGAGGAGATGGGGAGAGGAGAGCAGAGGGAGATGGAGAGGAGAGAGAGAGAAAGAGAGGGAGAGGGAAAAAGGAAAAACAAAGCCAATTTAGGCTGAGTTTGAGAAGACATTTTTTACATGCTAGGGTTAAGTTTCTTTAGCATGTAAACAGGCAATGTAACGATGAAACTGAGGGGAGGGAGCATCAGCTTATAACTGAGAGAATAAAGCAGATGTTGAAAAGTCAGATTATGAAAATGATGATGACAACGAAGATGCGTGTTTGCACACATGTTAATTTGAAAATTAAACTGGAAACTCAAAAACTTAATTAAAATTACAAGCCAATTTTGGGAGTGCATTGCGCATGGAGCATTGAGAACATATTAAAACTTGTTATTATGTGTAGACTGGTTTATACCCATTTTGCCTATCTGGATTGGATTTGCTTAATAATCTCTATGTTCTAGTGGGTGTGGATTTGGATGTCACGATGGAAGTGATGGTCATGTGCAATAAATGTTAAGGATTGTGGTGACAACTCTGGAAAGTTCTTTAAATGTGACAGCTGTTTCACACTGAACGCACTGGGCTTACAGCCTCTGGAGATTTAATATTTAGAATTTAAAAAATGCATGTGAAAATGCATTTTGAATGATTTGGGGGATTTTATAGTATAGCGATGATAACTGAATGGTATAAAGAAATTATTTTAAATAGTCATGATCTTGCAATTTCTTTGTTGAAATATAAATGTAACTGTGTTGATCATATTTAAGTTTATGCTACAACAGGATCAGTTAAAATGCTTGAGAGGTGAATTAGATAATTTGAATAAAAATGATAAGATTCAGACAATTAAATATTTTAATGGACAGCCAAAAGCCATGGATTTGTTAGATAAAAATGTTTAAAAATAAAAAAAGGGTGAGCAAAGACAATTTGAAATTTTTTATATAAATGTGAGAGGATTGCATTCAAAAATTAGAGAAATGTAGTTGTATTTTATATGATTATGATTAAAGATTTACCGAAACCTGGTTGGCTCCAGATATTTTTAATTCTGTACTTAAGTTAGAAAAGTTTAGTATTTTCAGAAATGACTGTAATAATGCTAATAGTATGTCTTCCAGAGGAGGTGATGTTCTAACTGGTATCAAGAATGGTTATAGGTGTATGCAACTTCAGTGTTCTACTGATCTCGAGCACTCATTTGAATGTGTATTTATTGAAAATTTAATTTAATTAATTGTTCGTTATACTTTCCATCCAATACTCAGGAAAATGAAACCATCTTTCATATGTTCACTTTGAAACTGCTTGAACTGGAATATCCTAATGCCAACTGGTTAATTGTTCATGATTACAATTTGTTTAATGTTGAGTGGAGCTATTGTAGCATGGCAAGCTACCCTGTTTTTGAAGAAGATACTTCACTTTGCAAAAGAAATTGTGAAAAGCATTAGCTGATTCAATATGCTTTCTGAATTTTAATACTGTGAGAAATGATGATTATAATGTGGAAGAGTGAAAACTGTAGTCGACACAAATATGAAGCACATGAAAAAGACTGATACTGTTGTATTTGCAGGTTCTAACGATATAAGAAGAGACGAAGGTGTACATAATTTAGTAAACTTTGTGAAAAACAATGAACAAACAAACGTTTTAATTATTGAAGTTCCTGATAGACATGATTGAGTGGAGAGGTCATGTGTGAATGAAGAAGTTAAAAGGTTTAACAGGAAGTTGGAGAAGAAGCTCAGGATCCATGAACACTGTCAATGCGATACATCTTCAGCTAGATAGGAATAACTTCATTAGACATGGAATGCACGTGAACAAGCATGGAAAGGAAAAATTAAGTGAAAGTGTCAGAATTAATAAAAACAATTTTGGAAATAAACAAACGAATGTGATCTGGTTGGAGTGGAAAGAATAGAATGAAGATTAGAATGAGAATAGACAAGGAGTAGTTTGCTCTTTCTAACAGAATGAGGTAGTAGTCTGAGAGGTTGGCAATTTTTTTAGGGATGAACATGGTTCAGGTCATTTTGTAGGTGAATCACACAAATTAAAAGTATTTCACCAAAATGTTCAATGTTTAGGAAATAAGAAATTTGACCTTGATGTTATGCTTGATAATGTATCATTTGACTTACATGTTATATGTATGACAGAGCATTTGCTTAAAGAAATAGAATTTGAGTTCGGTCATTTTAAATACTGTTTCCTTAAAGCAGAATATTGTCATAAAAACAAGCAACATGGTTGATCTTGCATATATATGTAAATTCGAGAATCAAATCAAAGGCAATTTGAAAAAAGTTGTATTGAAGAACATTTTGAAGCTAGTATGATAGAATTAATCAACTTTAATATCATTATCATTTGCATTTATAGAACACTAACCAGAAATGTAGATATATTTTTAGAGAATTTAGAAACTATTACAATAGAGGAAAAACCTTATTCTGGGTGATTTTAATATTGATTTATTAAATGAAAGTGAGTGTTACAAGTTGCAGACTTTATTAAACATAAACAGATTACAAACTATAATCAATGTTCCAACAAGACTAGATGCCAGCCATTGCCTTCACCCATTGATCAAATTATCCTTGACAAAAAAATTACAGAAACCTTCATATGATGTTCCTATGGGTTTCTCTGATCACTATGCCCACATTCTACAAGTAGGTGAGTAGCGGATACAGGGATACAGTGAGCCACTGGGTACTGTGAACCATTACGTATATTTTTTGTTGTTTGAGAGAAATTTTTTTTGAAAATACAGAATATTTGGCAACACTGCCTGAGTGCCTCTCATGAAGGTAGCAAATAGCTGCCTAGGATACACACTGTTCTTTTTGATATTTTGTAATATGAGGCACAAATTCCATGTTTTTTAAGAAGTAGAAAAAATACCTATACATTTTTTGCATTGTGATAAACTGTTATTTTTTGTAATCAAGATAATGAATGATCATCTATCTTTCAATTGCAATAACTGCAGTTATATTTATCTTTCATGGTTAACTTCTGAATTCAAAATGATATTGAAATGTATCCATGGAGATCTGTTAACCAGTGTCACTGGAGCAAATTCTTGACACAAGAACAATGTGTAGATTCAAGTAGGTTGCAACAAGAAGAAGGTTCTTTCAAGAAAAATTGTTGATGGTCTAAATATGTCATATTCTTTAATGGCACAATTTAAAAATTGCCCAAGAGCATCGGTAGATTTGAACAAACATTTTTAATTACATTTCCTGCATATTTGCGTATAATTTGCCATAAATCTCCATTTCCCACGCATATTTTAGAAAAAAAACCCCTGCATATATAAGTGCATATATTTCCAAAAAACCCTTGCATATAATCCAGTCTCTAGTGATAATGCATCTTTTATCATGTAATTATTCTCGTAACTGGCACAGATGAGTTCCAAGTAGAACAATAGTTTTTAAATGATAAAATATTGAGAGAACTTCTTGAAATGAATATAGAAACATTTTAAGTATAAATTCTCCAATCTTGTGAAACACTTGAAAATCAAACAGAAAATCCAACGTAATCATCAACGCCGTTTCATTTGATGGGTTTATACATGTTTTTTTATTATTTATTCTTGACAAAAAAGAAATTAATTTATTTCTATGAGTTCAAATAAATAGGAATTTCAATTTTTTTATTATGAAGCTTTCACATACTTTTTCATATGTATTTTTATAATGAAAAACCAGTGAATCTTAAAAGACCTAAAATGAATTTTTTTAAACTCTATTACAGAGTAACTAACAACATAACTCAGTAGAAACATAGTATACCAAATCAATAGGTAGGCCTATAATATCTTACCTGAAAATGTTTTGTCGTAATTATTTGACTCAATTTCATGAAGATATACATCAATCAAATCCCGAGAATATTGTTGTTCCAGGGTGATCTTATGATAGTTCACAATTTCCTGCAACATATGAAAAAACAACATTAATGATATTTTTTATTACAATTTAACATTCTTATAATATAAATCTTTTTAATGGCTCTTTTCTTGAAAATTTTATTTTGTGTATCCAAATAAAAATATAGGAAGGAAAAAGATGAAGAATGACAGGAGAAATTATTGTAGTATTAGAGTCAATGACACCCATCTTAATGAGGGAGTTCCTACTTTTCAATGTACTGGTGATCCTACATTCCAATGCTTATATTGCCCCTTGTTTTGCTTATGGGAAATAATTGTAAATTTTCTGTCTCCTCTCCTTCTTACTCTCTTTTAACTCTATTTTACTTGTTTACTCTCTTTTAGATGCTAATAAATAAGAAAATGTATAATAATATTTTAATGTTTGTGCACATAATAATACATTACTGCATTTTTAAATTCATGAATTTAAGTTGTTGTTGTCATTGATATTGTTGTTGATGTTCTTTTCAATTCACCAAGAATAAAACAATCAAGAGGCATAGGTCTCCTATTCTCTTAAAGAGTTAATGTAGGGGGCAACAGTCACGTTTCTCTGGGTTTAATATTAATGACTGCCTCTAGTAAACTGCCTCTTCAAGGTGACCTCTGGTTAAAACTAATTGTTCGCAAATCTGTGTAGCGCTAGAAGTATACTTCCACTTCCACTACATTACTATCATCTTTCTATCAGGTCTCTTCCGACCCTTTGTGTTTTTTGATCCCAAAGCTATTAGATTTTTCGAGGGCTAAGGTGTCTTTCATTTCTAAGTCTCGCCTTTTTTTCATTCTATGGCTCTTCTGTCACTTCTTCCTTCTCTTCTTTCAACTTGCTCTCTCTCCTTCTCCTAAAATTCTGACCGGAGACTTCAAGATAGCAGCCCTATCACCAGTCTTACCTGCATACAGTTTAGTAACCTTATCAGTGGAAATTACTTTCAACCACTAAAGCTATGTAGACTAATAAAATGGAGGCAATCAAGAAAGAAAATGGAAAAGATTATGGAATAGAGAAGCATTTACAGATTTTCAAGTGGCATGTAAATCATGGAAAAGAGGATGAGATTGTAATTATTTTAAACAAAAAGAACATTGATTTAGCGCTAATTTCAGAAACAAAAAAGATATTAAAAGGATCACTCAATATAGGGGAACACACCATGATAAACAGTGGCGTAGAACAAACAGAGCATGCATTCACAAGAGTCGCAATAATTTTGAGTGAGATATGGTCCCATAAAATTTATTCGTATAAGTGAATTTCTAATAAATAATAACAGTATGCTGCAGAATAGATAGAGGATATTCAGTGTACCCAACTGTAAACTGAGGAGTTCTAAAGTTGTTTCCAGAAAACCATAGGTAATTGTAATAAGAATGACTACTTACTGGTGAGAGGAGATCTGATTGCGAAAGTTGAAAGAAATCCAATTCAAGGAATAATAGGTAGTAGGCTACCTATTATTCCTTGTATTTGATTTCTTCCAACTTTGGCATTCAGATCTCCTACTCATAATGAAGCTAATATCAAGTAGAATTATAGAATTCACAGAGACTTTGCTTGCTTTAACAATGATTAACAACTTTAACAAGATTACAAACACTTTTTCCCTCACAAACGCATACACAAATATATTTGGTCAGCTCATGGACAAAATAGTACCATTGACTACATCATGACTTATGAAAAGACAGACTATTTTATATAAGAGTGTATAGGTGATTAGATGTAAGCAGTGATCATTTCACTCTTCTAGGGAAATTAAAAATCTGTAAAAGGTGATTTAGAAGCAGGAATAATAGAATAACTACTCAAAAACCCAAAAGAAACTATGTAAAACTTATCTCCAGGAGTAATCTATAAAACTGCTTTACTATAAATGTTTAGATCAGGGTTGTCTAATCGGTGGCCCTCAGGCTGTATGTGACCTCTGGTGCCATTTATTGCAACCCGTGAAAGGATGTGTCAAAAGTGAAAGTCCCTTTCATCCATGTTGGGCAAAACATTGTGTGTCTAGTGCTGGTGTCATGTTGGGGTAAACACCCTCTATAACAAAAAAAATAGGTTTAGTTTATATTTAAGGACTTTTTTCTAGTTAATTCAGCAAATCAAAACCATCCCAAAGTGTTTCACTGTGTTATGCATAATTTGGCCTGATATCACGCATGGTTCCATCCCTGTCCTTAGTTTCAGAGCAGCTGGTCGAAGTTAACAATAGGGAGAAGTCAGGTGTGGATATCCTGAGCAACGAAAATATGGCCCACAACCATAGTAAAGATTTTTGTTGTTGCCCTTGAGACATTGCAAGTTGGACACCCCTGGTCTTAATGAACAAAACACTAAACATCTGATAAGCGATATCCAATATGTAGAGAAGAAGAATGGATTAACATATGATCTGTAATAGAAAATGCAGCAAAAGGAGCAATTGGCATTTCGATTAAAAATTCTAGAACTAAAAAATTAGGAATTTAGAATACGAAATTCAAGAAGCAGTAGAAGTGAAGAAGAAGGCATATTTAAAATACATAAAAAGCAGGAATTTGATAAATAAACAAGAATATTCTAAGAAATAAAATCGCATAAGGAAATTGATTAGGAAAACACAGCAAGATAGCTAGGATAGACATTTCATATAAATAGAACGTGACATACATGGATGTCAAGAAAATGGCTATAAAATACTGAAACATTTAGAGATGTAAAGGATACAGCCAATATCCAAGTTATTAAAGCAGAGCAATTCCTCTTCTGCAAGAACTAATGGACAAATATCAGATGTAAATACATAGAAATCCAAATAGAACAATTTACACTACTAGAAGTCGACAGTAGAGAATATAGTAATTTGACAGAAGCACTAAAGGAAATAAAAAATAGAGAAGCCACTGGAATGGATAATATAAATGTCAAATAAATATGATTCAGAGAATGTAAAATGGTGATTCCTTCACTTCCTTAGTCTGTTCTGGAGTAGAGCAACAATATGAAGGTTTCAGAGATATACTGCATATTTAACATGCATTACGTACCTCATGTGGGAATTATAGAAGAATAAGCTTATTAAATGTGGCATATAAATTATCTTCATTAATAATAGCAGCTAGATTATGTCCTATTGCAGAGACAATGCCACCAGAATAACTGAGTGGGTTTAGAAAAGGAGGTCTTGCAGTGATAATATATTTATACTCAAGCAAATAAAAACAGAGGGAATCAAGAGACACATGTTTTATTTGTAGACAATGAAAGAGCTTTTGACACAGTTGATAAATATACCTTGCTCAATGTTTTGGAAGAAAAGGGCATTCCCAAACATCTAATTGAGATAATAAAGAGAATGTATGACGATTCAGAGATCTCAATTAAAGAACATTAAAGAAGAGAGAAGGTATATCAAAGATTAAGACAAGGCTGTAGTCTGTCTCCAATTTTATTTGATTTATATAAAGACAAAGCCCTAAGAGAGTGGATATTGTAGTTAAAATTTTATAGCCATGATTTGAGTTGTAAAAACAACATATTAACAGTACTATTCACAGATGACCAAGCAATCATATCAGATAACTAAAATGGACCGCAACAAGATCTCTTTGAATTCCAAAAAGTTCTGGAAACATACAATTTATGCATCTCCTTTACAAAAATAAAAGTTATGGGATTTGAGGGTACAAACCCCATAGATCAAAATTAATAATATTTAATAAAATTATACGAGTAATTTGTTTTAATTTTTGGGGATGCAATATTTCATACATTGGAGAAATAGATATCAAGAGTGAAGTTTAAAATTTTAAATTAATGAATAGAACCATAAAAAGAACATTAGGTAATAAAGTCAGGAAAGAAACATAATTTAATTTTATAAAGTTATGAGCATACCAACTTGCTTATGTGGATGTTAAAATTGGATCTTAACAAAAAAAGGTAAATAAGGTTGCAGAGTGCTGAAATGCAATTCTTGCTATCAATTGCAGAATATACATTGCTAAATAGGAAAATAAATACTAATATCTGAAAGGAACTTAACATATTCAGCTTGCAAAATAGAATGAAATAGTATATGAATTCCTGATATCAATATATCATGAGTAAGGTTGAAGACAAGTTGCCCAGGCGAATTCTATTGTACAACCCGATTGGAAGAAGAAAGCCTGGGTGCCCCAGGACAAGATGGATAGAAAGCTGGAACCCAGGAACCATAACAGGCGGAAGCCTAACTACTTGAAAAGAAGAAGAGTTTATTTTATCAGTATCAGCTTTTATTTGATGAGACACTAGGTGAAGACTACTTCAAGAGTAGATGTAGAATTATTTTATTGACTTATTTCCCATTGAATGGAAATTAATCATCATCATTCCTCAAGGTAGATGGCTTGTTCTGACTTGAAACATTTCTTTCCATATATTCCTTGGTCATTCAACATCTCTATAGTCTACTGGAACATATATAAGAACCAATCTGATGAAGTGAATTCCATTTATTCTTCTTCTTCTCCATTTCAAGGATTAGGAAGGAATGCCTGTTCCGTCTTCACTTTGCACTTCAGGACTATCTCTTTCTGGGCCGGCCGATATCTCTTCTTCCCTTCGGTTGATAGTTCATTACTAATTGTAGAATAAGATCTTCCTCCATTCTTTCGATATGGCGCCGCCGTACTTTCCTGTTTTCTAAGATCCTTTCGTTTATGTTGTATATTTCTAGTTCTTTATGGATATCCTCATTTCTTATCTGGTCTTGTTTAATGCAGCCTTTAACTTTCCTAAGAAATCTCATTTCTGCTGCTTGGAGCTTACTTTTTTTCATTATCCATGATTCACTTCCATACAGGAGAACTGGAGAAGCCATTGTCTTATATAACTTCATTTTTGTGTCTTTCCTTGCTTTGTTCTGTAGTGTTCTGTTTGTTATTCCACATATTGATTGAAATTTATTAGTTTTATTTTCTATGTCTTTATCTGTGTCATAACTGATGTCACAACCAAGGTAATTAAAATTTGAAGTCTGGTCGATCATTGTGTTGTCTATAACTAATTTTGAGCGTATGGGATATTTACCATAATGGGCCATAACTTTAGTCTTCTTTTTCTTACTTTCTCACTTTACTTTCTTACTTTCTAACTTTAGTCTTCCATTCATTCTTAATATATCTTATAATCAACTATAACTATTTTTATTCTACATCTTATTTCTTGCAGTCCTAAAGAGGCTCATGGGCAGCATACTAGCTTCTTGTAGTGTGATCCAGGGTTCAATTCCTGGTCATGGCAAAAATTGAGTTAGCTTTCCTTAAAATTTATCTCTGTAGCTGTGTGATGACAAAAGGCTCAGGTAGGTGGAGTTTGCTAATTATGGTGAAGTGTGGGAAACTAGGCCCAGGCATGGAGATCGGCAAAGTCAGACAATTTACTCCAAATACGCCAAATACACACATAATTGTATTTCTTCATTTTGGAAACTTATCTCAAAGGATTTGACCAATGACCTGTCTGAGATCGCTATTTGGAAACCCCTTCTTTGTGATCTAGGTGTGTGTTTCTGATCCATACTGGTACCAACATCGTTTTGTAGAAGTTTATGATAATTTATTTCTTTACTTTATGGTTCATGTTCTCTTGATCGTTCTACACATTGAATGACACGTACATATCTTTTGAGAAAGATAATACTCATAAATATAGGAAATGCTACAGGCAAAGTAGCATATGTGGAATACTTCAATAATTTTGCCCATTAAATTATCTAAAGATGGTGAGATTAGGGACAATGTGCATTAAGAAAGATAATGGAAACAAAACATCATCAGGTAGGAATTCTCTAAGGTGGCAACTACATCATCCAACTTTGCCTACAGAGCTCTTGTATGGTGGCTAATTGATATAGTGAGCGGAAATACACAAGCTACAATGGGCAGACTATGACATGACATCCATTTGAAATCCCTGAAGTGTCAAAAGAAGTGAATATAATAAAATAAGAAAACATCTTGGAAATACATGGGCAAGAATAGGAAAAGTAAAGAGAAAAAATCTGTGTGAAGAAATCAATGTGTAACGTAACTGTTAAGAAACACACAGAAATAATTGACATGAAAGTTATACATGTGCATAAATGAATAGCAGCAGAAATTATAATAGTTTGAATAGCAAAGGAAAAAGCAATGTGATGACAGAAATAGAAGTAATAACAGAACAAAGACACATAATTTATCATTAATTATAAATATACAATAAAATTTCACATTTCCATTTTTTTAATAAAGCGTTTATTAAGTGCTGTTCTATAAAAGTTTTTGATGAATTATTAATTCAAAATAATATATTTTAATATCATTTACTTTTGCTTCTGTGATCCAGAAAGAGTACCTTTTATTCCTTACAAATATAATTCAAATTGAAATTGTAATACATATTTCAGAAAATAATTGATTACGTTTAATTATCACACATTATTTATAGTTATCATATTGTTTGTAACTCCAAATTACAACACTTTAAAGGAGGAAAAAAACAATTTTTTTCAAGTCCAGTTATTTTTAAATTTCTAAAATGAAATTTGTTCTAAAAAATTAGCCCTTATTATATTAAGCACAATTTTTGGAAAAAAATAGTAGTTTTCCAGTAATTTCTGCTTGACGTTAAAGCACTTTATAAACTATAAGTGGTGCTATAACAGTACATAATTTTTTGCATTATTTCTAAATTTGCGTGTATCACAAATTCAGAGAGTTCAACAAAAATTAGACTTGCACCAATTTTTTTAGGCATCCATGGAAAAATTTTAAAGAAAACATGTGGAGCAGTTTTTGAGAAAACATGTTTTTGTAAATTGCAGTAATTTCTAGCAAAAATTATGGAAAAAGTTTTTGTCAAAAAATGTTCATGACGTTTTTTAAAGAGCTGATTTTTTAGAACAGAATTTGTTTAAGGCTAGAATTTGTATTGTCAACTTTGTAGTTTTGAAATGTTAACTTTTTGCAATGTTTTAAAATGCAGAGTTTGCGGGAAATGAGACTAGCACCAATTTTTTTCCATCCTTTTATATACACAAAGAAAAAATGTAAAGAAAAAAATTGGAGCCTTTTTGAGTTAATAATTTTTTTTAATTGTTTCAGAATTGCCTGTATTTCTTACAAAATTACGTGAAAACTCATATTTTCCAAAAATTCTACATCATTTTATTTTAAGATCTGTCTTTAAAGAAGAGAATCCTTGAAGAAAAAATCTCTCTTCAATATTATAGGAAGGCACCGACAAAAATTTTGAACTTCTGCAATTTTCGAAAAATCAGAGATTTTAACAAAAATGAACTGCCCACCATTCTCTTATGCATCCTTTACGCTATCCAAGAATAAAGTTTAATCAAAAAATTTGAACTATTTTTGAAAAAAAAATTGAAAATATTATTTAGGTTTTATATAATATATTCCATGAAGCTTCTATTATCGACATGTCAATAATCATAATGTCAGAACTGTTTAGGCCCTAGCGTTGACCACAGACGGACGGACAGATGTCAATTGATTTTTCGGCGACAAGGGCCCACGAAACATGGATTCTGACATCACAACCTGTTGAAGGAAGTAATTAACAATGTATATGAACAAGATTTATCCATTTATTCCCAAGCCCGGCAATTAGTTTTTCTGTCCAAAATTCGTCGTTTTCCGGCGCATGATTACACTTTCTCTTCTTACGAAGTAAGAGTAAGAAAGTAAAAATATCTTAAAAACGGCTCCAATGTTTTTCTTTATTTTTTTCCTCGACAGATTAAAGGACGCTTAAAAAATGATGCAGATTAATTGTTTCGTTTAGCTTTCTGAATTTTCGAAAAATTGAAAAATAATACGAGAACATGTGTGCTGTTTAGCACCTTGTTTATTTAAGAGATATCGACACAATTTCGATATTTTTAAATGGAACCTTGCAGCTACCTTCAGCCCATGATAAAACGCGCGAAGAGACGGGTCCTCGCGTTCCCTGGCCATAGTGGCCGAATAAGACGAGTCGGCGTGGGTCTTAAAAACGTGTTTTTATCAAAATATTGTTACATAACACAGGGCAACATGCATATGAGTGAACTCGTCTCCTACGCTTATTAATATACACTACGTACTATGTGAGTCATTTTAGGTGGAAAAATCACCCCAGTCTTCTCAATGAGATGAACAATTTTGTATATCATTTTGCTGGGACAAGCTTTAGTACTGCACAACAGTTTCTTGACGATTGATCTTCTATAACGTTTAGAAGGTTATGCTTAAGGAGTGTCGGTGTGTCGAAGGGCTGAGGATATTTCCAAGTATTGCCAAATAAAAAAATCTACACTCTTTGGATACAACTGACAAAAAACGCACATTGGTGATCTAAATAAATTGGAATGCACATTACAACAGTTTTGCATCGCGCCCGGTCTCACCAGCCGACAGTCACAGTACTCCGCCTGTTAGCAAATTTGGCTAATGATCTACTGAGTCTACGAGAGAGCACCTCGTATCTTCAAAATGCGCACAAAGTTCCGGTGATATGCAAACTGCGACGAAATTGGAAAATTATAAAAAAGCACTTTCGAACAAGAATCTATGCTTCTGAGTACAAAAGAATATCGGAATTATTTATTGCTGGTATAGCGAGGAATGCGCTGGTGTAATTTTTGCACCTGACATGACTTATTCGTATAATGTAGTATTTTATTTTTAATTTATACTTATTGTATAATTATTTTGATCGCGCAAGTATTTAAATAATTAACAAAAATGTCTTATCCCTTAACGCCCCTGAATGAATCTACGTCGGGAGATCAGTAAATCAAAGCGGAGTGCCGCGAGATTGGGGAACAAAAATTAATAAAATGCGTCGGCAATTATGAGTTACACAGACTCAAGGGTGTTTTATGTTAATCGCAGAGCCCGAAGTCTGGAGCTTTCTCGTCACGTTAGATATGCGTAGCAAAGTGTCAACCGAGCTCCAAAAGTATTAGCTTAGGAGACGTCATGTCGATTTATCGGAGTAGTGAATAGATTCCTTCACGTGGGTACGATAAAGGATAAGAGCCTAACAAATTAATACAAATAGCATAAACATTACCAAAAAGAAATTCCACATTTGAGTATGCTGAGACTTCAAAATATTATACCCTGATTTCTCAGGACATATGTGTCGAAGCCATGGGAAAATATTGACAAGACCGCCTGAAGCATCCAGTTTTCTAATTTGGGCATCTTGAATGCTTATGTATTTTTTAAATATTTCATCATTCAACTCGTATCTCACACCAGCAACAATGGCCCACAAACTATTGAGAACGGGCAGAGTGAGAGCTTCATGAAGTGCCACACCATCTGGATGTTCTGTAGCTAAAGTTTCAACGTGCCTGACAAGAATTTGGGCTTCTTCTTGAATTATAACTTCCATGCTTCTTTTCCCAAAACCGAAGTCTCGTAAGGTACGTAAGAGAAATCTCCGTTGAATCTGCCACAACTCCCCGTCCGTAGCAATTATACCTATAAGAAATTGTAAGATATTAGTCGTTTGATTGGTGTTTCTGGGCATATCAAAGCAATGGCCATTAGTCTCGTTAGTGAAATGATAATTTTTATGCTTCAAGGTGGCGGCGTTCCTCCTTCGCTGGATGGTGAGGCCCGGCACCGACCTAAAAGTCGGCTTGCGAGGGATTGCCCTCCTCCAGGAATCTCCCCAAGCAAGGCAGCGCCTCAGCCGAACAAGCTGTAAGTTTCCGACTGATCTCATGACTCGTTCCTTGGTGGGTAGTGCACGTAAATATAAACATGTGCATGTGTGTGTAAGGAGACTAGGGAAAAAAAGATCGCGCGAGGTCTAGGATACTACTCCGGCATTCGCATGGTATTAATCGGAGAAACCACGGAAAACTATCGATCAAAGCACCCGACCACTAGAATTTTCCTCTAGACTGCGACTGAATTCGAACTAGTTATACAGCGTCCAAAATCCGCCACTGGTGGGATTCAAACCCTAGGACCTTCCAGTCGGCTTCGCAGCGGAGACAGTGGTAAATTAGTAGTAATTGTGGGACTTGCTCACGTAAATTTAATATTTTTATTGTCGATCTCAGCAAGTCAAAACCAAAAATACCGAAAAGTCACAAATGTTTCATCTGTTTGATTTGCAGGCCGCCTCAGTGCTACAAAACGACCTTTCTGGGATGAAAATTTAAAACAGAACAAAAATAATCAAACAACTAGAATCATCAAAGAACCTGACATATATCAAATATGAACTTACAATATTTACAAAACTTATATTTACTAAAAATATACAACATTCACAGAAAGCTACACTGTATTAACGGATGTACAGTAAGATGCAAACTGGTGCATACGTAACAGATTTAATGAAAAAATCCGTAAGAGATGTATAAAAAATAACGGCGTAATAAGCCAAATTAAAGCCAACACAATGGACAAAAGCGTAGCATGACTTCTTGGCTGTCCGGGTGACGCCGCGTCCTTGGCTGAGAGGCCGACGTTTCGTCTGTCATATCGCAGGCTTCCTCAGGGTAGTGACGACTACCCTGATGGCCCTTTGGTCACTACCCTGAGGAAGCCTTTACATATGATATGACAGGTGAAACGTCGGCCTCTCAGCCAGCGATGCGGCGTCACCCGGACAGCCAAGAAGTCATAAACTCGAGCCGCGGAAGCCTACGTGTACAAAAGCGTACGTAGCATACTACAATAATTAACATCAAAACACCGATTAATTTTAACCGTATTAATGTTAAGCTCTTATGTGGGTAAATATCAAGAGACGAAACAAAAGACGCCAGAAAACACGAAACATTAAAGCTTCAACGAGTAGTGCTCCTACAGCACATACTTTTCATATTGTTTGTAACGGTTACTTAAAATTATAATAGCTGAACATCCAAAAGTGTTTCCAACCCGCAAAAATAACTTCCTTTCAAATTGAATTTCTATCGAATTACACGTTTATTTCGTCACTAAAAATTGCTAATATTTATAAAATTGCACTGTCACTTGGTTCCGTTCTTGTGAATATAGAACTGTTAGTAACAGTCTAACCAAATTGAGGCTTCTTTTTTATCGCCTCCTACATCTTTGCAATGGAACGTGACAAAATGAGAATCTTGGTACTTACCTCGTCTCTCGCCCATTGTTCTTAATTTATTAAAAAATCCGTCAGGGCGACCGTCCAAATCGCTGTTTGACAACGCTTGCTGTACCTCTTCATAGCCCGATACGAAGACAGTGGGGGGACCGCTACCCAAATAAATACCCACAATTCTTCCATATTTCGCAGCTAGTTGACTGACGGCGAGATAAAAATGACCAGTATCTTTCACAAGACGCTGAAATGTGAGGAGATTTCCTAAAATAGGAAGTCGAGGGGGACCTGAAACATAAAGTGCATTTGAAGAGGTCGTCTCAGAAGTAGCAGAAGCCTTATTTTACTCCAAAATTGAGATATTCGTAATTTCTGAATCTGAGATACCGTCTGGTAAAAAATGACGGTTAGGTTTATTCATTAATTTATTCTTTGTATCATAGGGAAACAAAAAAGATCATTCCTTAAAAAATGAGACAAATCAATGACTTATTGTTTAGAAAATAAATAGCTATTAAACTGCAAACATTAATATTTTTTAAAATTTTTAATTGAATTAATGTAAATGATAAATATTCAATAAATCAATAAATAAATATGCCTACATATTTATGTATTATTGTCTTTTTTAATGTAAGCTAAATCGAGAGATTCTATAACAGCTCAAATGATGTTTATTTTATCGTAAAAGTTTTTAAAAATTAATTATATTTATTTATCCCCAAAACTATTAAAAATTGTATGTGACGTATCGGAGAAAAAAGTCTCATAGAGCCTTTCAAAACCTCATTTATTTCAGAAACACTTTTTGTTAAAATTTCAAAATTATACATTTTTCGAAAAAACATTATGTTATTTCTAAAAAGTTCGATTCAATAATATGTTGACAGTGAATTAATTGAACTAGTAGAGCTACAGCAGCACGGACTTTCTCGCATTATTTCTTTTGCAATTTTCAAAATTTCTGAGTGTCCAACGAAAATGAGGCCTGTGCCATTTTTAAAGTTCTCTTTCCTCTACTCAATGGGAAAAAACTTAAAAAGAATTGCAACCGTTTTTTAGATTCTTTTATAAATTATATTAACTTCGAGCACAAATTATACCATTACTACTCATTTTTTCAAAAAAAAGTTGAATGACTAAAGATTTATTTTCTTCACGCAGATTTCATTTAAGGAAACAATATCTATCCTCAATATTGTTCTTTTGCAATGTTCCTTTTCTGTAATTTTGGAAACTACAGAGTGTTCGACGAAAATGTAGCCTACGCCATTTTTATAGACGTCCTCTGCTCTAGGAAGATGTCCTGTCATAGGAAGATGTTAAATCAACGCAAACCACAGCACGTTTCCGTGTCTGGTTAAAATACAGTTCAAAAACACTAGAGGTGAACGCTTAAACGAGGCGGCCTTTTAAGCAGATATAACTGTATCCGTTCCGAATTCGCAGGTCCTCGAGATTAGCGAATATCAATGTTGGAGAAAATCGTTTGAACGGTTTAACAGTAAGGATTGGCCACAGACAGACGAATGGAAGGACGGACAAATAGCGTGACAGACGTTTTACCGTCAACCATTTTCAGTACTAAGGACCCTGACTGCAGAACGTGTTAGAGGGAGTATTCACTACACATAGAAACATGATTTATCAACTTTTAGTTTCTCGCCTTACTATGTACTTAGGTAGAAAAGATACAATATTGTAATGCTGCACTAGAAATCATAGATTTTTTGACAGAAAAACTCACATTGTTAAACATGGTAACAAAATAGTAGACAGTTCCACCCTCCGTCTGTGGTCAATGCTAGAACCTAAACTCTCAAAATGATTTTCTCCAAATTTGATCTTCCTCCATCGATCTGGACGAACATGATACCCTGCGAGTTTGAAACGGGTAATTCCATTTTGGGGGATACTTGTATACAAATATTGAAGCCTCAATATTTTCAGTATTTCTCAAAACAAGGCTCCAAATCTTTTGATGAAACTTTCTTCTCGGATAGAATGAAGTACGCTTTAGAATGGCAGAGATTTAATTTTCGTTGAAATCTCTGAATTATCGAAAGTTGCAAAAGATTCCAATTCTTTTTCGTCGTCTTCCACTATATTGAAGATAGATATTTTTTCGTAGTGAAATGTATCGTGCAAAAAAAGATTTTGAAATACGGTCGTGTACAAAAATCGTCCAAGTTTACGGAAATGTGGGTAGTATTTTGGTAACTTTGCGTGAAATATAGGCTATTTTTAAATATTTATTTTCTCGGAAACAGCTCCGAAAATTTTCTTTACATTTTCTTTTCGGAGGACGCTAAAATGGTGCCGGATCCGTTTTCGGCGAAAACTGTAACTTCTTAAATTGCAAAAAATAGCTTTGAAATGCCTTTTCAAATAGTTTTTTATTGAGCTAGAACGAATATTTAATAAGAATTCTAACCAAAACAGCTCGTTGCTATCGGTATTCATAATTCACCTTAATATTAATGGGTTAGGACAGAGATTCCAGAGTTCAAGAAACCGTGCAAAGAAACAGTGCAAGGTGTACCATAGCATCGCCATAGTATCTCACAAAGTTTTTAGCTCTTTTTTGACGTGAAATAAATACCTAAAACATGCTCAATATTGTCCATGAGATGTATTTCTCCAGCAAACTGAACTCCTTAACAGTAGTTACATTTACTTTGATAAATAGTATTAGTGTCTCCAATCAATTAATCACTTACCTGGAGGAAATTGTTTTGGCTTTTGCAAGTGTGTACAGAGAATTGCAACGATGAAAATGCACAACAATAAAGTGAACCACATTGTCCAGGGCCTTAAGGCACTTCGCGTGTGGCATGCGGGGCACTCCGTAACAGACGACTTCAGAACTGAAGATATTTCCTCAACAAAGTTGTGACATGTGTTGTCATGATTGTATGCTATCAGAGAAATGTTTTTGAAACAAGGAACTTGTTACCAGATAACCACATATAAACTTGTTGTATTGGTAAGAAAACAAGATGACTGTTGCTTTTATCTCTTTTTGAAGTCGTTGCCCGATAACAGCCTTTGCATTTTGTAAGAAAAATGAAAATGCCCTTAATGACATTTGTGATCAAGGTGGTTATGCACAATGCACACTATACATTTCATTCTTAGTTTTCTAAGATTGTCAGGACACGTCCTAAAAAAATCTTCAAAGGAGTAATGATGTAATTTGATCATTTTTTCGAGGACTGCATCCTGATGATGATTTTTTAAATTGGTATTGCTAAAATTAATGCTTTACACATCTTGCGTAACAAATTATTTGATACACTACATTTATTTTCTTAGATGAACATTTTCTATTTTTTCCGTTTAAATAACTCGTATTGTGAAACGCAGTAGATATATATTTATTTAAAAAAATTGTTTATATTGAGCACATCTAGATATAATTGGAAATATGTCTAGTAATGCTGCGTGGTGAATTATATATATTATGGTTTGATGTATGAAGAATACTTGAAACACGTGTAAATAATGGCTAAATCCATTGCACTTTCAATTAGATAAAATGAAAAATGTTTTTTTGTTCAGTCAAAAAAGTTGACGTAATTATGTTCATTATTTGCTTTTACCTATAGTCATTTGCATTTTTAGCGTGTTGGTATTTTCAGTATGTTTTTCGTGTCGTTCTTTATTACGTAAGTATGTAGTTTGTACGCTTGTCAATTATTTTAATTTGGATAAAAAAAATTATTTTGTATGTACCATGGGCGTTGACTAGTTTTAATGATTTCGGGCGATAAAAGCCCCTCGGGCCGAAAGCTCCCGGGCATTGTTGCCGAACGATCATTAGAACCCGTATAACGCCCTTGGCGCATAAATAACTGCCTCAGTTTCTAAGAAACCTTTTGTTTTTTTACGCGAATTGCCCCAAGTGAAAGCGCCACTTGTGCCTACCGAGGCCCAGTCATATTCTCTCGGGGTCAAATGTTCGTGACCTTTTTGGGTGCGATTAGCACTTTTATGCCGAATCCATTTTACACCCCGGGGTTGTTAAGCCCTTGGATCAAGCATCAGATCATGATGAAGGGTGAAGAGATAATCACAAACATACAGACACAAACACAAACAACCGTGCCCGAGGATGGACTCGAATGCAAGATCGCCACGGCACTCCTGCCTTAGCGATCTCGGCTATCCGTATCGACTTTCATTAATTTTTATTTTTTAGGTCGCTTTTTAACATTTCTCTCATGTAGCGACCACTGTCATTGTTTTAACTGCAAGGGAACTGAAGGAATAACACATAAGGACAACACAAACACACACAAACGTCCATGTCGAAAGGTCCTTGTGTCGGGATTCGAATCCGAGACCGAGCCGAGGCAGCTACGACTCTCCAGCCTTACCGAGCTCGGATATCCAGGCTGGCTCTGAGAAACGTTATTCACGGGATAATAAGCCAGTAAGGTTACCGATAGTCACAAATTCGAAGAATCCCAGTTATGATGATTTTAATGTTGTTGAAGGAAATGCTCTCGTATTACGTTCACATTACGTTGCAATTTACTTGCATGTCATTTTAAGAATACATTTAATCAACGTTAAAGGCTTTTCAAGCGTAAGAAAAAACGTTTCATGAAATTTTATTAAAACGCAGTACCGTGCTTTCACAAACTGTTCAGCTTACAATGCGTTTCAAATAATTTATAAATTATTCATTCCAGAAATAATTGAGTATTTTATTACAATTTTCTTCAACATTGGAATAAATCTATTGTATGAGCTATTTGATCATTATACTAAACATTTAAATACAAAATAAATACTAGAAGTAAAAGTAACATATGAATTCTTTATAATAGCGCTTGCACTAAGAAGAAAACACAACACTTTTTGTAATCCATTGACTCTATGTCCAAAAGCCATTGATTTTTTATTATCTAGTGATTCCGGGCGCGTCAATTGCTAACGTCCACGTAGGCTTCCGCGGCTCGAGTTCATGACTTCCAGGCTGTCCGGGTGACGCCGCGTCGTTGGCAGATAGGCCGACGTTTCGCCTGTCTTCTGTCGCAGGCTTCTTCAGGGTTGTGATGCGTCACTTCTAGGCGAAACGTCGGCCTATCTGCCAACGACGCGGCGTCACCCGGACAGCCTAGAAGTCAATTGCTAAAGTCGTTAATCTCGTACGTTTAGTGCATGTGTTTTCCTCGAGAGGTGGCAGTGATCTTTTTTCTCTGGATACTGAGATCCGGCGCCGACTTACTGTCGGTTACCCCTCAACCAGGTATCTCCCACCATCGGGTACCTCTTCGTTTCCGACCGTCTCCCGGCACGTGTGGTAGTGTAGTGCATGTAAGTGTAAGTGTGTAGAAGAAGTGGGGATAGGACACGGCCAGTTTCTGAGTGTATTGCTCCAGCATTTGCCAGGGATTCATCGAAAAAAAAAAAAAACACGGAAAACTACCGATCAGAGCAGCCGGCTGGAAGAATTCTCCTCCAGACAGCGTCTGAATCCAACCTAGCTACCTAGCTTGTGCCGAAAATCTTGCCACCGTCGGAAATCGAACCTATCAGAGGCACTACAATGACATCAGTTAAAAAAAGCCATCGAGAATAAGGCTAAAATGCCCTTCTGTACAGAATGTTTTCCTTGTGATGTCGACGCAACCTTTTTACATTTTCAATTTGCAATATGAGCGTTGGGTAAGGTCACTAGAAAAAAATTAAAGAGAAGTTGAAAGTCGCATCAAATTGTAAATTTCATTACATTACATTTCTCAGGTTTCGACGCGCATTTACGTGCTTACTTAGATATTAAAAATATAAATTTTCCAATTATTCAGTCCAACCAAACTGCCAATATTAATCTAAAATGGATACACAAATATATCGTGAAAGTTAAACACTACTACTTTTTTTTAAATTTCGGGGTATTAACACTTCTGAAGTTTGAACATTCATTTTGTTACTGTGAAAACTATTGAGTTTAAGTCATTTATTATATAAAGTTTTTTTTTTCTCGACAGATAAGAACATATTGCACGCTTTCACGAACGTATAAGGGCACCCTGTTAGAGAATGCTTCATTTTCTTGCAAAAGAAACTCCTCCGTGCGAAACCTTCTAGGTTTCCGCGTCTTCCGCTGGCTGCGCTGAACTCAAGTCGAAGGCAAACACATACACTATTATATTACGTACTGATTCTCCTGATTTTTAATGTGAAATTCTGGCATGAGGTATTGGAATAGAGATGTAGAGAAAATGGAGTCATAGTCACTGTGCAATAAAGAATATTTGGTTTGGCATGTATTTCATGATTTTTGAATCGCCTGTATATTTACATCAACCAGGACTGGATTAGGGTTCTGTGGAGTCACCAATTAGGAAAATTAAGTGAATAGGATTTGCTTATTATTCAAACAAGTATTTTATGTAATGTAAAAGGCTAGGAATTATTATATGTCAGGTGTATTTAGAGAACATTTGCAAAATATTCTCAATAAGATGTACGAAGGACTGCAAAGTTAAAAGAATTCTGAATACGAAGCATAATAAAATTAAGTTAAAGTTTTATTGACCTTTCCAGGAATTTTGCTACCCCAACATTAGTCAAGTGCAATCATTTTCAATGAAGTCCTCATCGCTAGCCAAATTGCAAATCGAGACATCGCTGGTTCCTAGAAGGGTGACCGACTGGGTATCCCAAGGATCCGACGGTGCTAAGCCTCTAGCCAAAGAGATAAAGAGGTAATGGCGATCTACGACTGACGATAACAGATTGGGTTAAAGGAGAATTACTGCACGTCCAACGCCAGTACTTTGGTATAAATAGTCAATTAAAATTTTGGGTCAGAAGAGAGTTACATTCAATATTATTCTTATAATTAATATTCTGGCTAGTTATGACTCGATATATTCTTTAGTTTAGACTATTTCATGTGATTTTATTTAAATAAACGGTAAATGTAAAATATTAATGTTGTATTTTACTATCGAATTCCAATGTACACAATAAACTACATAATTTGATGCGACATATGTTTTGATAATTTTATCTAAAATTGTATTTTTTGGTATCACTTATTAAGAAGAAAATAAAATTGAAATTTTCCCCTTTCCTACGTAAAAATCGATTTTGAATAATCAAGAAGGGCATTTTATTAAGGAATTCTACATGAAGACCTCTTCGAGATTCTCGCAAGGGTTAATGCGGCCCTGCCACCTAGATCCTTCAAGGAATCAGAATAAGAATCTTCATGCTGTTGATATTACAATGGTATTTTACATACAATTATTACAACAAAATATGAAGGGTGCTTGCAGATTATGCAAATTTAATTCCATAATTGTATTAAAATAGTGAGAAATTTTAAAATTGCTGAAATTATATTTTTATACGTATTCCCGGACACCTGCACTGAAAATTTTCAATGGTTTGTACTCTTGTCCTGCCAGGGTGATTATTTTTCAAACTATTGAAACTTTTCTCGATAAATATCAAAAGTTAGTTTGCTAATACAATGTACAACCATACGGAGTATGAGATGTATTGATAAGTCGATGGTTAAGTTGTAAATTTGGATGGGAACTTGACAGAACCAAACAAGGTGACGAAAATAGAGCACCTTTATAAAAATTATACGTAGAAAAAAGCCTGGAGAATGTGAGCGAATGAAGACCTTTTATAGTATTAAAAATAAAATTACGCAAAATTACGACTACTACAGATTTAATAACTTGTTTTCCATCAGGTTGATATTCGAATTTAGAAAACCGTGACTCAAAAGATTTAGATCAGAGCTTCCTGATTTCATATATTTTCGTTAAAGAACATTAAGCACTGTATGTGATATTGAAGGTAAAGTACCAAAAAAGTGAGGTTAGCAAAATTTAAAAACTAGAAATGTTCTCCCGATTTTCAAGAAATTTTTTGCATCGGTAAACTAAGTACAATTTCATTTTTTAGTATTGCAATCATAGTAGCGATAGACAACACCGGCTCTACCACTACTAGCAAAAGTAGACCTCAAACCTGTACACAGTAAAGCTACATTTATATTGCAAGCAAAAAATAAGGTGGCCATTTAAATTTTGTTCAGTGGAGCAGGGACTTGTCGGAATCCTGTCATTTGGGGGGAGGGGAGGACTGAGAAGCACTATTTGCTTACAGGCGTATCAAGTCAAACTACAAATTAAAAGTAATGTAGTTGTATTCTTGTTAAAAATTACCATGGTCTAAGTGTACTGAACTAGCAATGCAGCAAGAAAGATTTAACTTCCCATCTGAACTATGGACCAATTTTTTAACGTTAACCACATGTGTTGTAAAGTAACGTTTATTAGATTGTTATGATCTGTTTATACAGAGTCGTTAGGTGTCTTAATAATCCTATTAGAACTCCTTTCCAATGGAACTAACGAAAAAAAAATGCGCGTTACAGGTAATTGGGGTGCGAGTATGTTACACATTTGATTTTGAACTTTGACCTTACTTTCTGTAACCTACGTATAAGAAATCGTAAAGAAAATGCAATTGGCAACTAGAGTAGCCAAACATTGACCAATATTTAAAATTTATTTACACGTCGATTTTGAAAATACAATTAAAACTTACAGTAAAATCCGTCTTTACAATCTTAAAATATCAAGTAGGAACCAAGTTCACACTAGTTATAAAATCGAGCGCCGTTCACAGCGCTTAGTCTAGTCTAGAGCCGCGACTCCGCGGTGTGGCGGGGCTGTCGCGGGACGGCGCCCTTGCCCTTGGCCTCGACCGCTCGGCCGCGAGCAGCCGCGTTGAACGTCACGTGGGCCGCGATGCTCGTCGCTACGTTGGCCGCCGAGCTGGCCGCTGTGCGGATCACAGAGGTGGTCCCCGAGCCGGCCGCTGGGCGGGTCGTCGATGTGGTCCCCGAGCTCTGCGCTGGACGGATCGCCGAGCTGGACCCAAAGCTTGGAGCTGGGCGGATCGCAGAGCTGGTCCCCGAGCTTGGAGCTGGGCGGATCGCAGAGCTGGTCCCCGAGGTGGTCGCGGCGCGCGAGCCACTGCCGCCCCCGACCGCAGGGAACGCGCCCCTGGGCGTCGCCGCTCCGCTCGGGCGCTGGGACGCCGGCAGCGTCGACGAGGCGATGGTCCTCCGGCGGCCCAGGCTCCCGCCGCTCTCCGACCCCTCCGACCCGCTGGGGGGCGGCTCCCGCATCACCGCTGCCAAAAACAAGCCCTTGCATGAAGAAACGTACCTCCAAAACCAGACGCATCGCAAGGGATGGTGGCGTTATTGCAGTTTGACATCACCTCCGTAACCTTCACGTTGCATAAAAGGACGTTCCATCTAAATCTAAGTTTTATTTGGTTATAAATTACCAATGCCGAGGTAGTTTAGGCTAAAGAGTCGTAGCTGCTGCCTCTGTTCGAAGGGTCGCGGGTTCGAATTTCGCCTTGGGCATAGATTTGTGCGTGCGTGTTCTTTACGTGTAGTCTCTACAGTTACCAATCACCATAAAAATCATGGTGGTCCCTACAAGACCTAGAAGTTAAAAGACACTTTCAAAACAAAATTACCATTTTTTCCAATTTCAAATCTGGTTACATTTTTAATTTGACAGTGATTGCAAATCTGTCGAACCCTAGAGTACATGCCCCCCCTCAATAGTGGATATCCATTCGCTCAAACACTGCCATTGACGGAAGAATATTTCGAACAATCTAGAGCACAGACACGGTTGCTCTGTCTCGACACGTCTACTGTCGCGAAATTTCCTTCGGGATGGCAAAATTGAATCTAATTAGCTTGCCGCTTCCTCGTAATTAGCAATAATCCGCCAGCCACTGCCCTGGAGCGTTGATTTAGGTATTACGGGTTTCCCAAGCACAAAATGTTGCCCTCACCCTTCAGAAAAAAATCCACCCCAAATTTACATATGTAATATTTATGACTTTTCGGATAAATTTTAAAAATTATTTGTAGAGCTAGCTCCCCTCCCCAGTTATGGAAGCTCCTAAGCAACTGCTCATTTTGATTTTAATGATATCTGGCCATGATTCCCTGGATACTTGCTAGGCCGTCACCGACGTCTCCGCCGTTCCCGCCAATAGTTTTGTGTATACGAGATTTCTGAAGGGGTTGCCCGGTAACCTGTACTGCCAGATTTAAATAGCGACTCCCCAAGGTCGGGTGCTGTTATGAGAGGGGGGGGCCCTCAACTAATCTGGAACTTAGTTACGACTTAAAAGTTTGGTTAATGAAGGTCCTGGTTAAGCGACCGTCTCCCCCTCCGTCCAGCTTCCGATCTCTGGGGAGTCAGTATTCAAATCTGACAATACCATCTCTTATGATTCTTTCCTCCTCTTGGCTCATGGATACCTGCGTTCTTGTTGGGATCCTTCTTCGGGCGCACGAAGGTCCGCGTGGGAACCGCCTCCACCACGGCCTTGGTGATGAAGGTGTGCTTGCCGATGCGGGACAGCCGAGAGTGATGCGAGTCGCTGACTCGCGCAGCCGGGCCCGACGGCCGGGGGGTGCTCTCGCCGCCAGCCTTCTGTTTGGAGCTCGAGGTCGGAATGAGCTGCCTCACGCCCTTCTTGCCGGCACCCTTCGAGGGAGGTTTCTTCACGGAATCTTCTGAAGAATCGGATTCTGTCGTGTCATATGCCGTCGTTGTCACCAAAGGTTCCGTCATATCCTGCTGACAAAATACATTTCAAAGTTTGCAATGGTTATTTGAATAAGTATCGTAATGAATCCTATTACAATTAGTGATTGGAATATTGATCTATGAGCAACCAAAACTGCATATCATTTCTGATCTTTTCTAATTGCCACACTTAACTGCTGCAAATTTAGTAACTTAAATTAAGAGCACATTCTTTTTAAAACTATGCTAGATTGTAGTCTTCCACTTTAACACATTTGAAAAGGTCAACGTCATTATTTTTCTTAACTCCCACATTAATTTAATTTTTTCCCATGAAAACCAAAGATTAAGCTATTTGGCAACTTAAGAGTTTTCTAATAAATAAAAGTTTCATTATGGACAGTGTGAAGCGCTGTTAGTCTAATAAAAAACATCTTACATCTGCACCAGTAACCATCCATTTCTTGATAGACTGCATCAAGACGCCAATTTGCCGCACGGTCATCATCGCTTTGGTGACAAAATCCGTCGCGTCATTAATAATCACTTTAGTACCCTGTGGTGACACCGCGATTAAAGGTCTGGTGGGGGTGGATGAAGACCTCCGAGTTTCTTTGGCCTCCTGCAGCGTCGTCAAAGTCGGAGGTTCCGAGACTCCCCATTTCTTCGCAGCACTCGTGGGCGTGAAACGTCCAGAAGAGTCTATGTCGTTCACAGATTGTGATCTCGCTAGACCGTATCCAGAACACTCTTGTTGCTCCTACACGAAAAGTAAAACAAACAAACTTCATTTTTCTAGACGTTAATTCGTGAAGCAATTGTATGCGAAGGCAAAACATTAAAAAATGTCCCTAATATTATATATTAATGATTTTTACGTTTCGTACAACAAGGAATAAGTTGTTTAACATTTGTTATAAAATCGATCTGTATGTTAACAGAATGGCATTCTACCTTTTTTCCCCCTGCTATCTATTGCGGTAGAAAAATGCATATACTAATTATATAACGATTACACGACTATTCCAAAGAATGAATAACAATAGCTCTAAGTCCAAGGTACACTTGTCGAGAGTGAATGTCCCAATAAGTTCTAAACAGTTCACGTTATCGAAGTGCAGTTATCCGACCCAATGGCGTCACTGTGGCAATAAATTTATATTCCAGGATAATTACTTATCCCTCCAATTCTTTCAACATTTTCGTATATTTTGGTCAACAACGGGCTACGAAATCTTATAACGACGTGAGAGCCTGGCAACTTTCTGTAGAGAAAGAAGTATCAATTCATCACATTTGCAGTAGACACAATATTCATTACAATTGTTGTCCGAATTGTTTGGGTTTTACATTCACTGACTGCAACAATCTGGACGATTCCAACAAAAACTAACAAATCCTTACAACAAAATCTTTTTACTTCCTTTTGGCTTCACTTACTTATTTTAACTATTTATTCTCAACTTTTTTTGCTAACTTTTATTGTTGAGATTTTTCTGTTACGAGGTTTGTTGTGACAGGCTATCCTTAGACACTGAATTCTTATTTGCACCTTTTAGCTCTTGTAACCCTTATACTTTTCCAGAATACAACTTGTTTCTTATCGTTCAATCCGGACGTAATGACTACATCCATTGCCTCCAAATGTTACTCTACCCTCGGCGGCCGTTCTTCCTACGACCTTCACTCCTTTATTACTTCTTTTATTTACATTTTTACCTGCAATGAATTTTTCTTCTGTTTTCTTACTTTTTCTTTCTTCAATTCTGGCTATTTCCCTTCATTGACTTAGTTTAAATCTCACTCCATCAAATACCTTTACAAACGGAAGAACTTCAATACGTTACTGTAATTGCGTTAAACGGTAGTTCAAATAGTTGATCTAGTAGACCTAAGATTAACTATGAATTAAACTGAATTTCTGGTAAGCAGTATATTTTGCTCACGAGCGATGTTAATGATCAACGCTGATTTAAGTTTGGAAGTGCAAATGAGTAGTAAGGTGTGCATTTCATATTAATGGTCTCTAGTTGTATTAGAGTTGTGGAAAGAGAGGAATTGTTCCTGGGAATTGAGAACAGTTCATCGAAGGAAACAAACACATTGACTTCAGTTAACTAACGATATATTGGGTCAATAGTTTAAGTGCTTGAGTGGAAAATTCATTTAGATCTTTAATAGGATGTCTGACGTTCTCACATGAAAAATTAGTTAAAAATGAATAAAGACGTGTTGCTTCATATTTAGCCGCAGAAGAAAAGTGGCACATTTCATTTGATATTCCAGAGAAAACTTTTTATTTTTTGCGGACTATAGGCAGTTTTTACTTTCTCGTCATACTACATACTTACGCAGTAAAGAAAAAAATATTGTAATGTTGCGGCAAAAATTGGCAATTTTTCGACAGAAAAGGCTCGCATTGTGTGGCCCAGATATGGAAAAATTGGATATATCTTTGATCTATATGCAGTCATTCAACACTGAGTAGTCGAGTCGACATCGTTCGCTCCGCTAGTCTAGTTAGTAACCGAATATCCAAATTGCACAAGTCAGTTAAATAGTAATGCGATCTGCAAGTTAGTGCATGTAGTGCGCATTCACAGTTACAATTTACGGTGAGCCCACCTCAGCCAGCTGTGACTTGGTTTACAGCATTGCAGGAGCCATGGCCCTTCTATAAGCACACAGCAACAGAAGACAGCAGCAACAGCAGCAGCAACAGCAACAGCATAGCTTCATCAGCAGCGTAGCTTGGGTTCATCAGCCACCGTACTATCTGGCCAAGACTTCTGTAAGGTCAGTAACGTCGATATGGCCGACGGCCCGACTCAGAGCCTTGCATCGCAAGACACTGCGCTTCGCAGAAACAGGGATAAAGCAGTTAGTGGAAAACGAGGTCACAGTGGCAATAGGTATTCCGACAATAAACAATCAAATACTGCACACAGTATATTCTTTGAACATCCTTAATAAATTTTATGAGTGCTCTACTGATTCTAACTGTTGATTGTAACTGGACAGAATTCGAAATGAAGTCGTAAAGTCAAGGTTAAATGTAGATAGTGTGGTATACGACGCAAAACAAAACAAAAAAACAACAAATATCACAGATATGGTTGTAACACGTGAACGGGACGGAAAAAAATATGCTCAAAATTCAACTTTCTTATGTAGGCCTGAGAACACCTGCACACGAGCGTAGTGGCCGGGAGATGGCTCAGGATATCAACTGATGTCGCTGCAGTCCCTCTGACCGGGAGGTCCGGGGTTCGAGACCTGACGCTGGTAGGCAGATAGCTAGGTCCAATTCAGTCGCTCTCTGGAGAATTTCAGCGACCGCCTACTCTAATCGGTAGTTGTCCCTGGTTTCTCCGACCAACACCAGGCGAATGCCGGAACAGAAACTTAAAAAACGGGCCACGGATCGCGCGTGATCTTTCCTACGTCTTCCACGTCCTCCCCTCACTCCTTACATACTCTTACGCTAACATGCACTACACTACCACACATGCCGGGTGACCGCCGGCAGCTTAGAGCTTGTCCCGGCTTGAGTGGTGCCCCGCTGGTGGGTGATACCTGGTTAGGGGAAAACCCGTCTTGCCGACGGTAGGTCGGAGCCGGATCTCGCCATGCAGCGGGGGAAGACCACAGCCACCTCACGACAAGAAACATGTGCTACACGTACGGGATTAATGACCTCATTAGTTGACGCACCCGGAATCACTAACAATCAACGAACGAGCGTTGTGTTGACGCGCGATAAGTAACGCAAGTCGTGTCACAGGACTAGAGCTACGGATTTGTGGGTAGGAAGATAATGAGGTGGTCAAAGTGGTTTTGAGTCTCGAGAGAGGTCATAGAATCCTTGCGAAGGAAGACATTTTTATTTAGGCTACTTCGCGCACACACCTGTCACTTTGTTACTTAATTGAACATTAATATTCTGTCTCGTTGAGTATTTTCTTGGAAATTGTGATGACGTCCCATGAGGTCCACTGTGTACTCTTAGCTGTGATGCGAATGTGGGAAAGAATTAAAACGTTTACATGACGAAATAAATGACGTAATTAATTGTCTTTTAGAAACTTACCACCTCCCCTAAACGAAGAACAGGGAACAGGCAGGCAGCACAAACGTAATGCGCTCAATTGTAACATCTATAAATGTGCTCATGTCTTCAACACTTCACTTTCCTCTTACTATCTCTGACTGCAATTGTGCTGCAACGATCGGGAGAGAGTGACAAGAAAAAGCAGCGTAATCATCCACCGCCGCGCAGAGCGGAAAGCGGATCACCCGGTGAGCAGTGGCGTGTGAACACATGAATAAACCGAACGATCGAATTATAGAAAAGTAGCGAAAGCATCGGGGCCTGTAGCTTTTCCTCCAGTAACGTCGACAGCTGGCATCCCTCGAATTAACGACGGATTACGAGAACTAGTTGGCAAAACCGAGAATGCAGACATTCGAAGTAATTAAACTAGTGATGCTAAACACCGTATACTTTCTCGCGTTACTTGAAACTTTTGGAAGTTTGGAAAATTCAGTATCTGCGCCATTTTTGTAAGCCTTCTTGCTCTGAAGAAAAATTAAATGGAAAAAATGGGGTCGTTTTTAAAAACAAAATAATCTCTATCTTCAAAATTGTAGTTTTGCAATTTTTTGTTGCAATTTTGGAAAATTGCAAGAGTTTTCCGAAAATGGGACTTGCGACATTTATATAAACACACAATTTACTTTTAATAAAAAATAAAGAAAGAAAGAAAGAAAGAAAAATTTGGGAGCCTTTTCAGAATATAATAATTTATAAATCGTGTACATTTCAAACAAAATTACAGATTTTATTAAAGAAAAAGATCAATCTTTTTTATGGTGATAGGAAAACTCCGAAACAATTTCAAAATTGTTCAATTTCCGAAAATTGCAGGGTTCAACGAAATGAGTTTTGCGTAATTTTAAGCGTAACTGAGTCCCTCCGAAAAAAAGTTTAAAAAAACTTTTGAGCCCTCTTTTTTAATTTCTGAAAATGTTGAGATTTTATGTAA